CAAAACCTTGGTTTGGCCACAGCTGGAATACTGTGTGCAGTTCTGGTCACCGCAACATAAGAAGGATGTGATTGCACTGGAAGGGATGCAGAGGAGAGTCATCAGGATATTACATGAGATGGAGCATTTTAGCTACAGTGGGAGAATGGGTAATCTTGGGTTGTTTTCCTTCGAGAAGGCTAAGGGGGAGCTGATTGAAGTTTATCAGATTGAGTGGCCTGGATGGGGAAAGGAAATACCTGTTCCCTTTAGCTGAAGAGTCAGTAATGATGGGCATAATTTTCAAGTGCAGGGCAGGAAGTTCAGAGGGAATCTGATGAAATTTTTTTTTCACCCAGAGGGTGGTGGGAATCTGGAATGCAGTGCCTGGGAGGGTAGTTGAAGCAGAACACCTCACAACGTTTAAAGATCAGTTGGATGAGCACTTGAAATATCGTAACAGTCAAGGCTTTGGGCCAAATGCTGGAAAGTGGGATTAATCTTGGTACAGACTTGATGGGTCAAGTCTGTGACTCTGAGAGCCTGGGTGAGGACAATCTTTTGTTTTATGTTTTGGAAAATTATAGCTTATGAGCAATGTGTTAGTTTCAAAGAAATACTGAAATTTAATGTAGCTTCCTTCAGGAGCTGATGATACCCAAAACACTTTATAGTCAATGATTAAAACATTTCCAGATTGGTCATTCTTTTAATGTAGAAAACATGGCAGCCAGTTTGAGAATTTCAGAATCTGTATTTAACTAATGACGTTGAGTGAAAATCTGTTTTGTGCCATATTGGTTATTCGTAATTCAAAGGTTGATGATAGAACAGGTATCGTCCACAATTTTATCCATTCTGCCATCAAGTAAATTATGCTGGTTATAGAATAGATTCCCTTGTGAATAAGAGATTTATTATATACACTTTAGGTCTCTTGGGTCTTTGGTTTAATATTTCATTTCAAGGATGTACAGCTCCACCTTTTATTTAGTACAATACAAGAATTACTTACTTCAAGATTTTATTAATTTCCTTGACAAGATTCTTGTAAATACTGTTTGTGAGAAACTAACACGAATGGGAACATCAAAAACATAAGAAATGCTAAGCAGCCTCTTGAGCTTTTCTACTATCGTTTAAATAATGGTTGGTCTATTCTTCAGCTGCATTTCAGACCTGTGCCCCATATCTCTTCATGGTCTTAAATCTCTCTACTTCAGCCTTTAAAAATTTTACTTCACCCAGTATTTACAACCTTACTGTGTACTGATTTTCCTCTAATGTTAAGATTTGATCCCCTTATTAAATGGTGTGGAGAAAGATGGAGGAAATGAGATGAGTAGAAAGCTATGATCAAATGGTAGTCTTGTCTACTAAAACCTTTGTTCCTAAGTTTCACTGGTACTTGTTTTGAAGTATGAATTTTACGTAGCTGATGTTTTGTATGTTCTGCCAGTGAGAATGATGGTATGAACAAAGCTGAGGTGAAGAAGGCAGCTTTGGAAGAAAAGCGAAAGAAGCAACACGAGCAGAAGAAAGTGAAGGAGGAGGAAGAGAAGAAAGAGGATAAAAAGAGTGACAAACCAAAAAAAGAACTTGTTAAAAAGGAAGGAAAGAAGGACCTTGCAGAACCCAAGAGGAGGAGAAGCACCAAGACCAAGTCAACTTCAGAGTCTGAAGAGGAGGAACCAGAAGATGGAGTAAGCACTGTTTGACATCTAAAAGTACAGCCAACAGCATAGGATTTCATTTTCTTGAACCTGGTTTATGTTTGGCCGATTTCCCTCAGGTTAAACTGATGGGGTCTCTATTTACCGAATATTTCTTGTGGTCTGCTGGAGTATGTTTGAAAATCAAAGAACTATTACAGACTTCCAGTAGCTTGATTTGCCAACGTCTCTGTTCTCGATGAGTAGAGAAACCGATTTGGAATGGATCAATTATGCACAATTTGGAAGTTGTTTCTTTTGAAATGATTTGAGAATGGTGGATTTGTTAACGCACATTAATTCCTCTGCTAACTGGTGGGACAGTTTAGTTTAGCTTGCAGGAGGTTTTTTGCCAGGAATTAAATTTGAAAACAGTAGCTGGGATTCTTCTCCCAAAACAAACAAATGTACGAAACTGATCCGGGTTTTCTACTGTGGCCCTGGAACAGTTGCTACTGTTGCATATAGATACAATTATTATGGATTGTTACATTTGTGAAGGACTACCAAACGCATGTTGTAAAATGCCATGTTCTCTGTTTCCCCTGTAAAGCCTGTTGATATTGTTCTTGATGTCCCACTTACTGCCCCAAGAAAGCAATTGTCACCACGAAGCTTTCAGCCTGAAAGGGAGACCAAAATCATGCTAATCATTCATTTGTCTGCCAGCTTTATTGTAGAATCAGGATCTGGTCTTGCTTTTGAACATGACAGTTTATCTTTGTGGTTGTGCAGTTAACCAAGAGAAATTCCTGCTTTGTGAGACAACAGAATCCTGCTGTCGCTCACTCATTTTTTTTTTCAGATTAGCACCACAAGCCTAAGCCAACGTTATTAAACTTCTACATGCATTCCTCTAATACACCTTTACATTGTACTTCTTTATTTTTGCTCGTACATAACATTTTTTTTTTCACTGTCTATGTTCAAAGGAAGAGAAAAGCAAGAAAACGAAGTGGGATGCTGCTAATAGACGGAATCTAATGAAAAAGCAAAATGAAAGGGAGCAGGAAGAAAAACTGTGCAAAGTGGAGGAGAGCAAAAAAGATGAGCAGTAAGTACTGGTTTCTGATATTACATTCTCATGTATTGAACATAATGGATGTCGATTATTAAAATAATTTGGATCTATAATGTTGGTATTTACAAACCTAATGATAGGAGGCATACATAGCAGTAACCCATGATTTATCTTAGATTCCAGTCAAACCCACATTCAGGTTTTTTAAATCCTTTGTGAAATATTTATAATTCATCAATGTTGTGAAGTACATTCTGAAATAATATGTTTACATAAAACCTTTTGATGTCCCAGTTTCATGGAAGGAATCCCTTTTGACAGAAAGTTCTAAACTTGGGTGTGATGGTTGTTTTTCCTCTAGTCAGGCATAAATATAGTTCATCTGATAAATTCAATTAATCCTTCCACCCAGGCAAACCAAAGAGGACAAAGAAGGAAAGAAAGAAGAAAAACTCAACTTCAAGAAAATAGAGAAAAAGAGAGGTGTGGATCTGTCTGTTTAGATTCGTTACAGTATTATCAGAAAGGCTGACTGAAATTTTTTTCATAAAATACCTTTGCCTTGGTTCATAGAAATGTCAATGGAATTGAGACTTCAGAAGTTGCACAGTGAAATTAAATTATCCCTGAAGATCGACAAGCCTGTGAGTACTCGGTAGTTGAATACAAAATTGAGTCTGTTCCTAATTTGTATCACATGAGATGCAGGGACCTATTGTAAGTTCAGTTTCTGATTAATAGAACTGTGACGATTGCTATTTTTATATGTTTATATATATTTTAATATTTGACAATAGTTTCAAGTAAACACTTCAAAATTGTTCTGTAATCTCCCAGGATTGTTGCCTTTTATCTTGTAATTTTGTGAACGTACAAACCTATGTACAAAATTGGAACAAGAGTGGCCGCTGTGGCATTCAAGTAAGACCATAGCTGATCTGACTGATCCATATTCCTCAACGTTTCACTCCCTTTCTTATCAAGAATCTATCTACCTTTGCCTCAAATATATTCAAGGGTTCCACTGCCCTTTGAGGAAGAAGATTCAAAGACACCTTTGTCAGACAAAAGTTTTCTTTTATCACAGATTTAAATAGATGATCTCTTATTTTAAAATAGCAATGCTTAGTTCTAGGGCTCGCCAGAAGAGAATTTCCTTTCCATATGAAACCTATCAAGACCCCTTAAGAGCTTGTATGTTTCAATCAAATTGCATCTTGCCCTTCTCCACTCTAGTGGATAAATGTTTAGCTTGTCCAATCTTTCCTCACAAGACAACCTGCCCATTCCAGATATTGGCCTGGTAAACCTTCCCTAACTGCTTCCAATTCATTTACAACTTCCCCAGAGGAAACCAGAACTATGCATACTACTCCAGACGTCGATGCTGTGCACAACTGAAATAAACCTCAGGAGAGGTCCTTTGCAGGTCTGGGAGTGGGAGGCTCTGAGCTGGGGTAGGCTTGATTGTAGTGCCAGGAGATGCCCTTTCTGAAGAAGGGTCTAGGCCCGAAACGTCAGCCTTCCTGCTGCTCTGATGCTGCTTGGCCTGCTGTGTTCATCCAGCTGTACACCTTGTTATCTCAGATTCTCCAGCATCTGCAGTTCCTATTATCTCTGAAATAAACCTCACTACTTTTGTATTTAACTTGCTTTGTGATAAATTATAAACATTCAATTAGCTTTCCTAATTACTTTCTGTACTTGCACACGAGCTTTTTACAATTCAAACACTAGGACACCCAGATCCTGTACATTTCAGAATTCTACAATCTCTCACCATTTAGACAATGCTTTTTACATTCTTCCTGCCAAAATCGGAATCATTTTTTCCCACATTATCCTCCATTTGCCAGATCTTTGCCCACTCTTTTAACTGAGAAATTCACAATGTTTTCAAGATGGCATCTTAGAATAGCATGTTCTGGAGTTGACCAGAGCGTGGGCTGTATTAGATGTGATATAGTGCAATAAGCTGGTATTAATTAATCTCATAGTGAAGGGCCCCTTGGGTAGCAGCGACCATACTGTGACTGAATTTTCTGTTCAGTATGAGGGAGAGAAGAGCGGGTTTGAGACTATTTTTAAAACATTAAATGAAGGAAGTTATATGGCATGAAAGCAGAGCTGGCTGAAGTGAAGTGACTAATTAGGTTAAAGCACAGGTCAATAACAATGCAGTGGCAGCTATTTAATGGGATATTTCAGAATATACAGAACATGAATAAGAAAATGCCAAGGGATGTTGTTAACTAGAATGGTTAGATATTAATCAAATTAAAAGAAAAGGCATAGAATTATGCCAAAATTGGTAACAGGTCAGAAATTTGGACAGGATATTAAAAACAAAGCACAATAACTAAAATTTAATAAGGAAGGAAAAATAGGTTGCAAGAGAAAGCTGGTCAGAAACATAAAGTTATAATAAGAATTTCTATAAATATTTAAAGAGAGTTAACCAAGTGAGCATAGCAAATGAGACTTAATGAAGAGTTGAAGAATTAATACTGAAAAATAATGGCAGATGAATTGAACAGCTATTTTGCATTAGTCATCACTATGAAGGATATAAGTAGCATCTCAGGAACAATGATAAAGCAAGAAATGGAAAGGAGGGAGGAACTTTGGGATGGGGGTAGGGAAATCACAATTGCCAGAGAAGTGGTACTGAGTAAATTGTTTGAGCTGTGGACAGACAAGTGTCTGAGCCCTGATGGATATTTTCTCACAGTCTTAAAGGGCAGTAAGCTACTTGGTGCATTGGTTTAAATTTTCCAAAACTCCCTTGCCTCGGGGATGGTCCAATTCGACCGGAAAATACTGAAAATAACTCTTTTATTCAAAAAGGGAAGGAGAAAGAAAGCAAGAACCAAAAGCCAGTTAGCGTAACATCTGTTGTAGGAAAAATGTTAATTGCTATTGATTTTATAGCAAGGCATTTGGATAAGTTCAAGAATATCAGGCAAAGTCAACATTCTTTTGTGAAAAGGAAATCCTGCTTGACCAAACTATTGAAGGTCTTTGAAGAAGTTATAGGAAGGATTATTGAACTGGAGAGGGTTCAGAAAAGATTTACCAGGATGTTGCCAGGAATGGAAGTTTGAGATAGAAAAATAAACTGGAAAGATTGGGAGTTTTTTCACTGGAAGGTAGGAGATTGAAGGGTGACCTTATTGAGATTTATAAAATAATGAGGGACATAGATAAGGTGAATGACAGGGATCTTTTCCCTAGGATGGGGGAATTCAAGACTAGGAGGAATATTTTTAAGGTGAGAGGAGAAGGATTTAAAAAGGACATGAGGGGCAACTTCTTTTAAACACAGTGGTTTGTGTGTGGAATGAACTGCCAGAGAAACTGGTGGATGCAGGTACAGCTACAGTGTTTAAAAGACATTTGGATAAGTTCATGAAAGGGAAAGGTTTGGAGCAATATGGGCCACGCACAGGCAGGTGAGACTAGTCTAGTTTGGGAACATGGTCAGCTTGGACTGGTTGAACTTGATCTATGACTCTAAATAATATGTACTGTGAACAGAGGAGAACCACTGGCTGTATTATACTTAAATTTCAAGAAGGCAGAGTGATGAGGTGCTACATCAAAGGTTATTTTGGAAAATAAATGTTCATGGTTCAGGGATTAGCATATGTCATAGATAGGAGATTGACTAATGGGAGGCAGAGTGTAGGTGTAAATGGATCTTTTTCAATGCAATGATCTATGGAATTGCGTTGAGACTCCCCAAAGTTATAGAACTTGTCATGAATATCCATTGCTAACAGATGTCCCTATTAGATCATGAATGTGAAAATAAAAATGCTGGAGAAGGTCATCAGGTTTGGTAGTATCTGGGAAGAGAACAGGTTAATAGTCATTTTGGAGTCATATGGTTTCCCTCTGCACAAATGCTACCAAACCTGACCAGCTTCTCAAGCACTTCGTTTTTATTTCAGATATCCAGCAACTGCAGTATGTTGCTTTTATATACATCAATAAGGATAATTGCTGATTGCAAGACTAACAACCTATTGCAGCATGTTGTCCTTTCAATTCTGTCTTGCCATAGCTCCTTTTCAGTAAATTACCTATACATTTATGTTTATATTGGTGCATGATTTCCATTGATGCAATAAAGAAAAAAAAATCTATTTACTTAAGCACCTTTCACAATCTCAGAACGTTCCAAAGTGCTTTATTGTCTCTGGAGTGCTTTGAACTTCAGTCACGAGTGCAGTGTAGGTAACTTGTTTCAGTTTGATGTTTTGGTACGTTTGGATGTTTACTTTGCTCAAGGGGAAGGCAATTCTAATGTTGCTGGAAAAACTCCAGCAAAAAATCAAGTATTGTTTGCAGGAGCTGTCTACAACTCTAAAGTAGCTGAGTCACATTTCAGATTGCAGTGGAAGGTGGAAGAAACAGTTTAAACCCCAATGGGCAAGATGCCTAACACCACCTGTTCTTTCTTCTTTTCCTTGGTCACACTGGCACACGGAATACCAGCACAAAATGTCCAATATCGCCAGTCCATTGGTCACGGCTGATGCCTTAGCATCACTAGAGACTTAGTATCCGAGATCAATAAAATCCTGTCACCTTGTTCTCTGAAGCCACTTGTTTCAAAATATCTGGAGGACTTCTCACATTGATAAAGTTCAGAATTTCTCAAAATAGGACTTTGATGCCATTGAGAGAATATAAGGCTAGATCAGTGCTTCAGGCAGCCTTTAGTTGCTGCATTGTCAGGGATCACATTGTTTAGGTAGTACCATTACTAGATTTGCTAAAACTAAAACACTTCCAACTTGATGGTATCCATTTGGCATGTTGGATAATTAACTATGCGTTGAGTGACATTGTAGATAAGTGAGGGGAGATCATCTATTCAGAATCCATGCCATACGTCTCTTGATGACTGTTACTTAACTAGTCTCAAGTGGACTCCTTACTTTGGCACCTGGAAAGTCTAGAATTAACATAATTCCTTTAGGCACTTTTTGTTATCCTGGGCCCAAGCATCATTGAAAAATTACATTTATGTAACCTTCATAGTGCACCATTTGGAAAGAGGTGGGCAGGTGACCAAAATCTTTATTTCAAAAAGATTTTAAGGAGTGAAAAATAAAAGTAAAGAAGTTTTAGGGAGGAACTCTGGAATAATGTGTGCCTTTTTTCAGTTTTTCCTGTGGAGAATTGCCTGCATTGTTAGTGAAAATTACGAATGATTTAGTTTGGAAACTAAATGTAAAACTGCATAAAACAGAGAATGGGGATGAATTGCAGTGTGGTTCAAGTGCTATAAATTGAACATAAATCGTTAAACCTAAAGATGCCAAATTTAAACCTAACCATAAATCTAACTTTTTCTTTAAATGAAAGGATTAAAGATGCTGCATTTAGGAATTTTGTACTGTAGTAACTGCAAATACAAAACTGATGTGATGCCTCACCATAACTTCTGTTCCTTTTTAGGATGTGAAAAAATGTATTGAGACCTTGGATGAACTTGCGGCACTCCAGGTTACTCCACAGCATCTGCAGAAACATAGTGAACTGATTGCAACACTTAAGAAGGTTAGATGCGTTTGGAATTTAAGAGGTGATGTTCCTCATTCACCTTATTGTATGCCCTTTTTCCAACTGCCCCCTCCCCCCCACAACCTTTCTTTTGAAATTGCTGTGAAGCTTGGCCTAGAAGTCAGTTGGATTAGTTGAATGTGGAATCTTTATTTAACATCTGCATGTAAGCTTTTCAGTAGTGATCACTGGGTAACAAGTGAGAGAAGGAATTTGGGGCAAAATTATTGGATTGATCTGGGACATCCTTGGAGCGAATCATCAGAGGCAAATCTTTTGAAGCATTTAGAATAAGTGACTAATGGAATAGGTAGGGAATGTAGAGGATGCTGATTTGAACTGGAGACGAAATTCAATCAGGTGCCTCGTTCCTGTGTTAGAAAAGTGCAGGATTATGCTACAAGAGGAAAATGTCACCGGTTGGTTGGCTTAGTAGAAAAGAATTGTGATGAAATGTGAGGTTTGGTCTAGGGAAAGTCAGAAGGTGGGTGTCAAGTAACTTCTTGCTTCACTTGCTGAGGAATGCAATGAAGATCAGCAAATATACAGAGACCTTACAGGAAGATCATAGATCATAGAATCCCTACAGTGTGGAAACAGGCCCTTTGGCCCAACAAGATGAACAAGGGTGATTTTAGGGATGAGAAATTCATGGACAGTAGGAGCGATTTTTACCTGGACCACTTGGAAACTTTCAAAAAAAAAAGAAAATTGAAGAGTTTTGATAGATTGCTCATCAAGAAAGTTTGTAACAAATGATCAGTTTAAACTGGTCATTGAGCACTTAAGGGAAGATTGGATGAACACCTAGAAGCAGTGAAGGCTGCAGGGTTATTGAGAAAGAGCTGAGCAGTAAGGATTAGTTTAGTTCAGTTGGTTATAAAGATAAGAGGCAATCAAGAATAGCTGAGGGAACTGATCGCAAACAAGGGATTGGTGAATGGGGGAGTTTAGTGAAGGGTTGGAAGGAAATACTTGTTTGTTTTGCCTTGTTACCCTGTAGAAATTGGACCTTGCTTTACCACAGGGAAAGGAGTTATCGAGGTTTACTTCATCATTAAGGTTTAAAATAATAATCAAATTGGTGGTAAAATTAATGCACTATATAAAAAGCAATGTAATTGAATAATGTAGTGAAATAAAACTCATTAAGGATGGCAAGATAGGTGATGTGCCAAGACTGCAGCGTGTGGAAGCTTCTGGATGCCTCTGTGATCTATGATGAAGATGTGTGCAATAAATGTTTGTGTCTTGAGCTGCTTTGGCTCAGGTTTATTGAGCTGGAGGCTGAAGTGCAGACTCCACCACACGTCCATGAAGGGGAAAGTTAAACCTGGATGCTTTGTATCAGGAGACAGTCACACCACTTAAAATAGTGTCTTCTGGTTTGGTCAGGTACAGGAGTGTGCGCCTGAGTGAGGCAGGTAGGGGAATCCAGAGAGGAGTGTCAGCCATTGCACGTGTCTAATACATTTGAGGTTATCTCAACCTGTTTGAATGAGAGTATGGTCTACTGGGTGGATGAACAAACTGACCATGTACCGTTGTACAGTGAGCCAATCAGGTGGAGGGAACAACAAGGAATCTAGTGATAGTAAGGGAAAGTATAAAGAGAGGAACTCGCTGCATTCTGTGCAGCAAAAAGCATGAGTTCAGACAACTGTGCTGCCAGCACGTTGCCATGCTTTAGGACATATGCTTTAGGACATCTGCTCAGGGCTAGAGAGGAACTTGTAGTTTAGCAGGGAGCACAGACATCCAGTTATCACGGCCCGCGAATGGCAGAGATCAAGGAAGGAGGGTGATGTGTTAGGCACCAAATTGAAAAGCAACACCTCCAAAGTTATAATCTTTAGATTATTACCTGAACCAAGCACAAATTGGCATAGGATACATAAAATTAGAAACATGAACATGTGGCTGAAAGACTAGTGTTGAAAATGTGGGTTCTGGTTCATTGGCCACTGGTACCTGTAGAGGATAAAGTGGGGTCTGTACCTTTGGGACGATGCACCTGAAGCATTCTTTTATCTGCTCTTGAAGTTACGCTCGTTGAAACTGTTGATATACATGATTTTGGACTTTGATTTTGCTCTTCAGCCTTTCAGATGGAAGATTTCAAATGGTTGGACAAATGTAGGCTTTACATAACCATGAAGTAGCTGACTTTAAGCTTAAGGGGCACTCTGCTTAAAAGTGGTAGGATTAAGGCTCTTTCTGTAGGATTTGCAGAAATAAAATTGAGGTGTTTTGTGTGGTTTTATTTGCGACAAAGACTTGGGAATTGTCTATTCTTTTCCTTGTAGCTGAGGCACAAGCTTCCATGCTTTACAAAGAGTTTCTTGGGCTGTGATATATATCCTCAACTATGTCTGTATTCTGTGCAAATAAAAAAAGTCTAATCACTACCGTTACTCTTTATTTTACTTCAAATGATGGATTTTGTTTTTATTGGTTTTGTCTTGTGACAGATGCGAAATTACAAAGCTTGTCAAGACATCATGTTCAAGGCAGATATGATCTACAACAAATTCAAATCCATGTTCTTGGTTGGTGAAGGTGATTCTGTGATTGCACAAGTACTAAATAAATCTCTTGCTGACCAGCGGCAACATGAGGAAGCAGTTAAGGCACGAGAGCAAGAGAAGAAAAATGATCAAGTGGAAACTAACAAGAAAGCTGACAATACAGAGGAACAACTGACTGGTAAAGTCCATATTAACCTTTCCCACTCCTTGCCTACCTGTGAACTAACTGTACAAATGGTGTTCAGTTCTCTACTATCTAAAGCAGTAGGGTAAATTAGCTAAAGTCTCCTATCCTTTCTGGAGTATGGAAGAATTTATTATATCGAGTGCTGTCTGTCTAGAGCAAGACATATAGCTCTGACTGAAAACTTCTTGTTGCCCTAAGATCTCACTAATCTCAGCTCTTCGTGATTGATGTTGATAGTTGTAAGTCTGTTATGGTTTTCTTTTTGTCTCCAGTTTCTCTCTCTGCCAATTCGTATCGGTTTGTTTGCCTGACACACTATTAAGGAGATCCAGTGGGCTAGCTTCAGTCTCTCTTCTACCTTTTCAACCCCTTCAATTCGTGTAGCCTAATCAGAATTGTTGGTTTATGTCTCCAATTGCTGACAGTCCTCCCAACCCATATAAGTTGCTGAGGATGTGCTTCCAAGCATTCTGCTTCATGTTGAGTAGCAGGCTTTGCCCACTTTTTTCCCATTGTGTTCATTTACTACATGTTATTACAGGAAGATTTATCATAGAAGCATTGAATCCCTACGGTGAACTTAGAGGCCATTTGGCCCATTGAGTCTGCACCAATCGTCCGAAAAGCATCCCTTCCAGACCCCCCCCATCCCTATAACCCTGCATTTACCATGGTAAATCCACCTAACCGGAATATTTTTGTAGTTGGGTAGGTAGAGGAGACAGGAGGAAGAAAGGTAGTGTTTTGAGGTCAAAGCTTATGTCAAGCCAGCACAGTCTTTTCCAACTCTTGATGTTGGATATATAATTATGTTTGTTCAAAAGCAGCCAGCAGAGGAGGTTCTTCTGGAGGGTTGGCAACTGAATTCGCACACAGATCCAGAAGTTTGCAGTTTATCCATGTAGCTCTCTATTTTGAAATCTAAATCCTAAAATACATTACACAGCTTTCGGCACAAAAGTGCCAGCAGCTGAACTCGAGCAGGTGATGAGTCAAGGCTCTTATCCTTGGTGAGTATCCAGTAATTGAAAGTAGAACATGTGAACACTAAGTATGGAAACCATCTCAATTCTAGAGCCAAATTCTAAAAGACAGTTGCCACTTGTTGCCTTTGTTCATATGTAGCATATGACAGAGTAAGTACCTCCAGGAGAGGATAGAAAATTTGGGAGAGCCTTTTATGGTTTATTGCCGTATAAAATTTTGAGTCAGCTTTTCAATGTTTGCTTCAGTGTTTTGATCCCTGGAACTGCGAGCTGTGGTGTCATTTGTGCCACATAGTCGGCTCTTGTTAAGGAATTTGTGCAGCTTCTGTAATATAGCTAACGAGCCTTATCCCTGTTTGTTGTCAGCTGCTAAAACTTTGAATGGAGAAGTTGTACCACAGGATGCAGAGAATGACCACACCTTGAAACGAGCAGAAAACAAACCCAGTGATGAGAAGAAGAATAAATCTGATGCTGTGCAGCCACCACAGAACAGGTCAGTGTAATGAAGTTTAAAGCTTGGTGGGGATTAAAATTCATTGAGGACCGGGGTCTGAATGTGGTTAATTTGTTTTAGTTAGTTACTTTACCACCCTTGTAGAATGGTCCATGCTTCTGTACCTTCTGTGGTTGCCTCTGGACTGTCATTTGGCACGTGGGCTGGATTGTATTCTGAAATCTAAAAGATGTGACTAATTGGTTAAGCTGTTATGAAGAGATTCTGTTCAGAAGAGACTTTGGAACCTTGCACTCAGGAGGATGTGGCATGTTCGTGCTGAGGTAGTGTTAGGTACAGCTAAGATTCCTGGTGCTCCTTCTTTCTGTACTAACATAATCACCTCCACTACAGAGATTAGATATACAAAAGGATTTACTTTCATGGTAAAGTCCTTCATTAACACACATCTCACATTAGCTGGCTCAAAGGCATATTATTTCTAAAGAGGCTTGCTACAAAATGGCAGTGTATCTCCTAGTTCTGCCTCTCATATTCCAGTCTACAGCTGAGCCTACAAAGGAGCTGAGCACTACTCACCCATATATTTAACTATAGATTAACTGCCCAATCTGTATTGTTAACAACTTTTATTTAGGGGCTTTAGCATAATAAATTGTTTGGAATAAGGTGACTCAGCACAGTAGAGAGCAGGGATGGATTAGTCCTGGCTGTTTTTGTTCAGTGCCGTATTAATTGATGTTTCCACTAGCTCAGAATAGAACAGAAATTTATTGTCACGTGTACTTTTAAATGAAAAACAGTGAGAAGTTTTAGAAGTTGCCCCACCATGGTGCCCACATCAATGACAGAAGTCATACATAACTATTGGCTGGGAGGAAAGTAACAGTCATTCCTTTTGAGATTAAAATGATGATTTTAATCAAATAAAATGTCACCAAGTAACTTAATATTTTCTCTTTCTCTTCAGTGAACTGCATCAGTCTGATGCCTCGCAGTTGGCAAAACAACCGTCAGCCAATTCCGAGGCTGAGCAGATGGAGACCGGACCAGGAGCTGAAAGCTGAGTAGCTCCAACTTGCATACTGCCACCAAATTTAAAATGTAGTGCCTAGCACAAGGTGTTGTTAGTTGGGGGAGGGAGGGGGGAGAGAGGGTAGGGGGTGGGGTAGTGCTTTTGTTTCCTTTTTTTTGTAACTTCTGATCTGTAGACAACTTGCTATTTAATACTGGATATCCACAAGGAAACCCCCATAAAAACAACATAGCAACAAATAAGCATATGGCAGTCTTTTACCACATAGAACTGATGAAGCCTAGGTGTACATTTTTTATTTGGATCCTTTTCCTGCCTTTGTTGAAAAATGTTTTATACAATTGGAGGGTGGTGGGTTTTCCTTGTTTTTTGGATGTGTATAGTAAATCAGTGATGTTTTTATGTTGATATGGTGTATTTTTTTTGTGTATTAACCTGTTGAGGCCAAATCTGCTTTAACGCCAAATAATCGAAAGTAGTCTTTGTTCCTGCCTGTTGAATTGCAGGTTGTATCGTAAAGAAACTTCTGTGCATTTTTTAAAAATCTTTTTTTAAACATTTTGCTTTGGTCTAGTAAATCAAGTTTGTTGCAGAAGTATAGTTGAGCTTTCTTATAATAGCCTATAATGGTTCTATGTGAAGGTGTTGTAGAATGGTTATTGTATACCAATTACTTTTCTTTAAAAAATACTAGTGTCTTTGTACTGCCAAATGCTTCCACTTCAGATGAGCCATAGAAGCGCTTCTGATGTGTTGCATTTTGTTTTGTCCATTGGGGAAGGATTTAGGCCTTAAACTTTGCTGTAGACTTGCACCAAAATAAATGTTTGGTTCGTTAATACTAATTAACTCGTCTCTTTGAACTATCTATAGGTGTTAGATGACTGGTATGAATGTACAGGCTATATCGCATATTTTGTTAACGCAAATTGGCTGTAGCATGAATGATGAATCGATAATGTGAACTTTCTGCTGTAAGGTTTAGTGATTTCCCTATAGCGCGAGGTCACACAAAAATGCAACTATCACATTATAGGAGACTACCTGTACCTTTAAAAATTTAAGACCAATACAAAAGTACTGTTGTTGTTTTAATGCACATGTTGTGTGAAAATTCTCCTTCATGTTTACCTAGCTTTCACTAAATGCAGCCATACTATTTGCCTTAACTACTTTGTGACAGTGACTCCAGGGTTCGTTCATCTTCTAGTGCCATTTGTAACAATGGTCCGTTACAGGCTGGACAGGATTTATAGTTACAAGATTTATCGATATGTTGGAAATAAAGTGGAGCCTCTGCCATCACTTTCCAGAGCTTCAGGCTACACTGTTATAACAGCAGCTTCGACTCTGGGGTTGCAGGGTATGCTGGTGTGGATCAGATTCTTGCCAACAGCATGAGATTAGATCTCCATTCTGGCTAAAATGGAGGTCACTGCTGTGGGCTGGACCTACCTTTGGGCAGAAATCTCTTAAAGGTTTTGAGAAGATTTGTAGTTCGGATTGTGGCTGAAGCTTCACTGGAGGTGCACTGATGACGTTATATAGCAGGGTGACGAAACATCTGCACCCAAACCCACCAGCTCGGCGAGCAAGTCTACAACCTCAGGAAACTCTTCAAGCTCAACACAGAGATGAATGGTCCTTTTTTTCAGAGGAGGGGAAGTGTCAGTGTTGTTCCCAGGGGATAAATAGTTGGAGTACTGTATGAATGCAGGGCATGATATCAGAAAATTTGTTTCCTACACTTTCAAATTATGCCACCAACAATGCAAAGAATAATAATAGATTTCAGGAGGGCAGAAACTGAAACCATTTATTCCATGCATCTACCTATTAAGACAGGTGTGAAGTGATGCATTTTAGTAGGAAGAATGTAAACAAAATGATGTTTTGAAGACTGCAGTAACAGGAGTAGGGTTTAAATAAACAACCTGTGCATACACCAAGATTAGGTGAAGGTTATTGAAATGGCTGTGGGACCCTTGGTATTAATAGAAGCAAAGTCCATTTTTATGGCACTGACACAACCTTGGGCCATCATGTCATCAACTACCCATCATTCTCATCCCATTTTCCAGCACTTGGCCCATAGCCTTAAATGTTTCAAGTGATCGTCTGAATACTTCTTTTAAAGGTCTTGGGTTCCTGCCTCTACCACCCTTTCAGGCAGAGAGTTTCAACTACTTTCAACCTTCTGGGTAAAATATCTTTCCTCCCTTTAAACCTCCTATTCCCTACTTTAAAACTGTGACCCCTGGTTCTTGCCTACTCTATCTACCATGTCTATACACTTAGAGCATGGAAGGCTCAAGGAGGGAAACCTACGCTTTATGATACTACAACTGATTTGCTGAAGCCCAAGCAACATCCTGGTTAACCTCTTCTGCACCCTCTATAGTTCAGAACTTCAGCTATGGCCTAACTAATGTTACATGCAGTACCATCATAACCCCCTTGCTTTCAGATTCAATGCCTCAACTAAAGGCAAGTATCTTCTTATCCACTTTATCTATCTGCCCTGCTGCCTTCAAGAATCTGTGACCACGCATACAAGGTCCCTCTGATCCTCTGTACTTCCTACGGTCTTACATTTCAATGTGTACTCCCTCCCGCTATTTGCTATACCGCCACAATTTGTTATCTGTGAACTTACTGATCAGGTTTACATTCATGTCTCGATAATTAATGCATACAACAAACAAAGGAATACTGCACTGAACCCATAGTTTGCCACTGGACAGAAGCTTCCTGTTTACAAACCACCTTTTGACCATCACTCTGATTTCTGCCATTAAGCCAATTTGCCAAACTGCCCTGGATTTTTCAGGCTCTTACTTCTTAATCAGTCTGCCATGCAACGCCTTGCCGAAAGCACAGTACAAAACAAAGGGAGTTATATTAATCTTTAGGATAAGAGCTTAATTAAAATGCACTTATTTAGATAATGCTAAGACGACCAAAAATATACACACCCATTATCTTTGCATTAAGCTAATAGACTTGAACCTTGAGGGCACCCAAAACATTAGAAAACAAAAGAAAAAAAGACTTAGTATGGTTTATTAACAAAAGAACAGGAAGTAAAGCTAGTTCCCACAGGAACATTAAGGTACCTAAATTGGAATACAATGGGAGTAAAGGGAAGATATCTATCATTTGTTATGGCATCAAGGCTCACGTGAAGGATGCCTCTTTTATATGTTGCAGTTGCAATAATAATTGTAATACTTAGAAAACAAGTAATATCTAGGATCACTAACAAAACAAAGGCCTTTGTTGGACAATAAGGTAATGGCTGTGAGCAAAGGATTGGGCAAGTAAAAGTTAGTGGTTCGGAATTATAGGGTGTAAATGGTGGGGTTTGAGCAGACAGGTGCAATGAGGATGGACCAGGGTAACAGGCATTTTTTACCCAAGGCACAAATGGGGTATAATGCAATTACAAAGGCAAAATACTGATGCTGTAAATCTGAAATATTTTATTTTAGTCACCTGTACTGGAGTACAGCACTCTCTGGCACCACCGTAGAATTTTAAGTAAAAAGCAGAAAATAAACAAAAATGTTCAAATTCTGTCCAGTCACTCACTCCTGGCACTCCCACCCAATGCTGGAAATCAGCTGGGCCTGAAAACTGGGGGAACTGGCAGATCCTGGTTCAGGGCTACAACCCCATTGCCACTGCTATCTTCAGTCCTGCTCCAGGCCCACCAATGCCACCACCATGCATCTGTGCTGAGTCCAGCTCACCACCGCTGTAGGTCCACACTGGGTCTATCTCGCTGCTGCAACCAAGTTGATCAAAAGAAGGTTAAAAAGGGCAGAGAAGAAAAAAGTGGACAGAAGAAAGGAGATGAGCCCCAGACCCCAAGTACTGCTTACCCTGCTGCTGTCAACTTGCCTTATGCTAACCAGCTCAACACGCTGGAAGAACAGGTCAGGCAGCATGTATAGCATTCTGATGAAAGATTTGATATGTGGAAGTCAAACTTCAATTATCATAAAATCACAACTGGATTAATATCATAAGGAAGAAACCCCTTGCCCCTTTCTTGGTCTGCTGTGCATAGGACTCCAGTTCTACATCAACCAACCTCAGTTGTGGCCTGGCAAATCATACAGTTGAATCTGATAAGTCAATGCATGCTAGCTTCTCAGTAATTTTTAAATACTTACTCCAGACTCTTGTACAGAATACCACTTATTTAAATTCTTAAGAATCACTCTGCTAACCTCTGCTCATGACATTGTCACCAGTTCAGCCGTTCGATACCTAAAACATTGGAGAGAAATTGTGATTGTAATGTCATTGAAAGTCAGGTGACATTAGACTTATCATTGCATGACCCTGATGAGTCATCAGCCTCAGACTAGATGATTTTCATGGAGAGGAGATTCCTTCTGAAGTATTGCAAATGGACCTGAACTCTACAAATTTTTATATGGTACCCTGGATTACTAGACCACTGACCTAACCACTATCACCACATCTAAAATTTCCAACATTAAAAACATTTTGGTAGTAAAGAGTGTTTTCAAATCAAAATGTGGACATAATGTGATCAACAAATCCTCCATGAATGGCATGCATCCAAGTAAAGAGTCTGAAGTTGTTACCTCAAAATCCAAAAGTATGGACAAGTGCATTGAATACAGGAGTTGGGATGTCACATTGTAGGGTACAGGACATCGGTTAGGTCACTTTTGGAATTGTGTGTTCAATTCTGGTCTCCCTGCTATAGGAAAGTTGTTTTTAAACTTGAAAGGGTTCAGAAAAGATGGTACAAGGATGTTGCCAGGGTTTGAAGATTTGAGCTATAGGGAAGAGGCTGAATAGGCTGGGGCTATTTTCCCTCTAAAGTCAGAGGTGCCCTTAAAGGTTTATAAACTCATGAGGGGAGTCTAAAACTAGAGGGCAGAGGTTTAAGGTGAGAGGGGAAAGACATGAAAGAGACCTGAAGGGCAACTTTTTCACTCTATGCTTTTAAGAGCTGTATTGCATGAATGAGCTGCCAGACAAAGTAGTAGAGGCTGGTATAATTACAACATTTAAAAGGCATCTGCATGGATATATGAAAAGGTGTTCACAGGGATATGGGCCAAGGGCTGGCAAATGAGACTAGGTTAATTTAGGATATCTGGTGGGCATGAACAAGTTGGACCATTCTGTTCAATTCTATGACTCTTAAGAAAATTGTCCTCCATGAAGGATTTCCTAAAACTGTAAAAACATATTGCAGTACTTGTGTTCTACCACTAGGTAGAGCAAACATCTGTATTATAACTACCAGATACTGGTAATGTAGAAATTGAAGAACACCACAACATAAATACAAAATTAAAATAAACAACTTCAAAATCCACTTTATTTGTAGAAATAAAAATTGGAAATAATGTCACTAGATTCACAATTTATACACGTCAAGAGTTCAGGTTTACATAAATGAAATAAACAAGAAGGCAAAGCAATGACAGAAAAACAAGTTGTAAACATATCATCAGGACTAATCAGTCCAGTTGTGCAATATAATATCACTCCAGGCACCTCAATATCTAGCCCCTATAACAGGGCTTCCTAAGGTGTGAGTGGGGACCCCTAAGTTGGGTCACAAGCTCCAATGCAGGTATAACCACCACGGAAGTCTGACTTGAGTTAGTGACAGACACAGTTGTTCTTACAGAGAAGCCCCCATTTACAAAGGATCCCCACCCCTCTTGTTCTCAGGTCTCCTCTCTCCTCCACCACAACTGTCAATTCTCAAACAGGGGTTGAGAATTTTTCAAGCTTAAACTGGGAACATGGTGGGAAGATAGTGTCTAGGGCTTTCTTCAAATACAATTTGGTAAAAGCCTGCCTCCAACCACCACCCTGCTACCCAAAAAAATTCCTTCATGAAAGTAGGAAAACATAGCTAAGTAATCTAAATATTCTGCCCCCAAAAGGCCAATAATAGAGTATCTACCTTCACCATTAACATGAGGAAGAAAACACACTGCAAATACAATAACCATGACAGGCAAATCATTCATCAATAAATGTTATTTCACAGAATTATGCAATCTGCCCATTGGGGTGTGTGAAAATAGCAGAAGACTTAGCTATGTACAAAGTTATTTTACTTCAGTGATGAACATAAAGTTTTAAATTGTATCTATTGGATTACTTTGTCAATAATAAAGGGTCACAATTCCTTGAGAGAGAGAGAGAAAAACATTTAAATTAACATATTACAAAACATTTTAAAATTTGGTGATTGAGGTTAGAGATGGAACTTTTTGCATCAACACAGTACACCACCTTCAGAGAGGGACATCCAACACTATCAGTATAACAATTATCTTTTAATCTCTAATTAAGTTTAGCAAGTGGTGCCAAATTGAGATTTTACACCAACGGACACTATTTGCCAGAAACAGAACAAAGACTCCCCAAAATTCATCTCAAATAAGCCCCTTTACAGCCAGCAAGCAGCGACTTCCATTCATATAATTCTGTGTTAGGTTTGAATCCAAATTTCAGAAATACAGACGTGTCTAACCCGTTAATTTCCACAATAGACAACCTTGAGAATAGAACAAAATCCTTTAGAAGAATGAGTGACAATGAATCAGAGTGTAACTAACATATGAAATCACCAAAAGGGTATAACTCCAGCATTGTTCCATAAGCTACCATCTTTGTTGGTCAACGTCATGAATCTGTTCAGCTTATTGTTTAAAACAAGATACCTTGAAATTTAATTCAACAGATTTTAAAGCAACTTTGACAGTATGGAAGTGGATGCTTGCACACAATTATTCTTGAGAATATCTAAGTATGTAAGCCTTGTTAAAATGTTGGTGCCATACACAATTGTGCAAGTCCAGTTCAAATTTTCCACCAATTTCAGTTAAACCTCAAGAAAATATTAGTAGTCAACCAGGCTACTTTGACATAGCATTTAATTAAATATTCCCGGATCAACATAGGGATATGCAAGAAATTCTCCCAATTTATTGCCATCAGCATCATAGTGAAGCATCCTGAAACACGTGTCACAGAAGAAGGCTGGGTCCTCAGGGGCAAAATTATCATTGTTGGTCACCCACCTAGAGAAAAAAAAAGTGACAATTTTATAAAATTATACTTAAATGGAAATTGACATTTTCAATATCCTACGCTCCAGGATTTTTAATATCCTACATTAGCTGGAACAAATCATCTCATCAACTTTATTACATGTATTCAATAGTGGATGCTGTACATATTTTTGTGGGAACAACCTATTTGTTCCAAACTGATTCTATCTGAACAAAACTTTCTGCTGGATATAGGGTCACTATAGTTTGGTAAACAGGCAATCTGACCAGCAAAGAGGGAGAACAATTGATATTAGCATGAAAGAAAAACACAGGTACAAGTTAACTCCCGTGCACTTGTGACAATACTATGCTTTTAAGAGGAGTATTTTTTCATGATTTTTTTTAAAATGCAGAGGTGATGAGCAGCCTGTTCCAAGCCAATTAAGTAAACAGCTTGTGAGGCTTGGTGTTTTTTTTTTAAAAAAAGCATTGGAACAAAAGAAGCAGTGTGAAAGCGTGGGGTCAAACTCCCAGAAACAGGATTTTAGTTCAACTTTCAGTAGCTACCGGGGTTTAGAAGCTGCAAGACGCCTCTCTCTGCTACAACAAAACACTCGAGTTCTCTTTCTCAGAGTTTTCTCTTGACTTTCTTTTCTCCTTGATTGGAGAAACATTGCATGTGAAACAGTTTAGTTTGCCAAATTTGCCTTTGCCAAGGGTTGTTTATGGGATGTTACTATCTTGGAACAGCTAATCAGTGGTAGCTAACATATATATTATCTTATTAAGTATTTTGATAAAGTTACAGTCAAACTTTGTTTTCTTACTTTGTCTGTATTTTAACAGGAGTGTAATGATAAAGTGCGTTTTGCTTCAAGCCTGTTGGTTTGACCAAACTGCATCCGGAGCACAACACATTATGCTTGCCTTTTAAAATAAGCTGGGGTCTAGGCTATCTTAATATTTTGAGGGGGTTTCGTCTGGTCCATAACAAATTGGGGGCTCTTCTCAGGATCAAAATTTCTAATTCCAGGTTGGGTTTAGAGTTATTGGACTCAAAGACAGAATGGTGAGTGTTGGTGTTCTCTTTTCAGCTGTTGCATTTGGTTGGTTTAAATAGGGTGTGTCTTGTGTAATAATGGCTGTTTCAGAGGCTGAGAGTTTCCTGAGTGTGGAAGAAGTCACTTGGGAAGAAGTCACTTGGGTGGTTTACAGGTGGTGAGTACGGGAAGACTTCTGGAATTAGCAGACAAGCTGATGTTGGGGTTGCTTTTGTCTGTGTGAAAAGGGGAGATAATTTCAGCAATAGCTTGACACATTATTTATAAAGTATGTCAAATAATGCAGCATCATGCAGCTTTTCCAACTGTATCTATGATTTATGATTAAGAACTGCTATGCTTTTGAAAGTTCAATTGCAGAAAATAGTTTTTAGAACCTTCTGCCTTTGTGATACAGCTGCATGTAGGTTTATACACTAAGTACCAATAACAGTACTTCTACCACATAAATGGAATTTAACTAGTAGGTTGACGTGGGTTGCAAACAATATAAAAGTTTTTAACAGGACATTACAAACAAATGCTATCAACATGACTTTAACCCCATTTGTTATTCAATAACAAACCCAAAGCTTAGCACATTTTTACATGCAACTTTCCATACTGATCATTTAAATGAGATAAGATTAACCAGATCATGTAAATAAAATTACAAAATCATCTCCTTCAACTGAATCATGCAAACTAAACTGGCATTATTTGATTCACACTATAGGTTTACATTTGTAAAAAGTTCAGGAATATCATAAATAATATCTTGTCTGACAGAGACCTGCACACAAAGTTGAAACTAGAGTGAACACATCTGTGATGGTATTACTAATGTTTGGTGATTTCATATTCAATTTCTTAACCTTTGAAAATATTTTTACTTTGCAGATGTGAAAAATCTCATTTTAGGTTCTTCCTACTGCTACAGTTGCAGGTGGATTTTTTTTTTTTTTTTACAAAATGTATAGAAAGATGGCTTCTGCCCACTTTTTCATGTATTCCAGTTTGGTGATAAGCAACCCAAAGTAACTTCAATGAGCAATGTATTGGCTGTGCCACTATGTGGATCACTGTTATCAGCTGTCCCTCAATTTGAGGAGGACTTTTACTCAGGTGGGCAAAGTTTCTGCATTAGGTCCTTGTTTGCCAAATACCAGCAAGAGTAGAAATAGGATAAAGGAAGGTTAAATTTGTAGCTGGATGCGTGGTGCAACAGGCAGGGCTTCAGATTCTGGGGACATTGGATATGTATCCCTTAGCTGGTGCCATAAAGAAATGGGTTGCACTTCAACAGAATGGGATTAATATTCTCATAGAGAGGTTCACTACTATGGTTGGCAGGGCAAGAGGGGAACGGTTACATTAATTGGCAGAAGGATGGACACTAGCACAAAGAAGTAGAAAAGAATGTGGTGCATAAAGTGAGAGCATCAGTCAGTACTGCATAAGATAGCGGCAGACTAAGAAGGACTACAAAGAATACAAAAACAGAATGCATGTTACAGAAAGGATGAGGACAGGCAATAAGACATAATGGTGTAATGTGTAAGAACAGAAAGGGACATGCATCAATTTTTGAAGGTGACATGACATCTTGAGAGTGGCTAGCAAAGCATATGGGATCCTATGCTTCACAAATAAAAGCATTTAGTATGAAAGCAATAAATCATGAAACTCTAGTTAGGTCCCAAGGAATCTGGTGCTTCCTGGAAAACAGATGCAGGGGTCTGAGAACAATCATTTTTACGCAGCAAGTGGTAATAACCACTTCACTACCCACAAGAATGGTGGAGAAACAGTGATGATCAATGACTTCAAAATAAAATCAGATGAGGATTTAAAGGAAATAAATTTGCTGGGGACATGGCACCACGTTGGGAATTGGGACTGACTGGACTGTCCTGCAGGGAGCCAGGATAGACCCAAATGGTGTCTTTCTGAATTGTATACGACATCAAGTTTCTTGGGCATGCACATGTTTGGAGCACAATTCAGTGTCTTGATTTAGAGAGTCAAATGGTTTTGTCAGGTTGATGAACGCAATGAAGAGTTTGAGGTATTGTTCTTTACATTTTTCTTAGATTTGCTGGGCAGCAAAGATTATGTCAGCGGTTCGTCTGGAAAGTCTAAAGTGACGTTTGATTCACAACGTGTGGAGTGTTTTTAAGACCTTATAACGCAGTGCACTACCTACCGAACTATGTATAATTTGCAAACAGAACACTTCCGGGTCCACATCCAGTGCTTTTTGATCACACATGGGTACAGGGTTTTATCTAAGCAATCATCATGATGGACAATTCTGTGACAGCAAATAAATAGGCATTAGTGCTAACATCAATTTTATACTTCACATAAGCACAAAGCATACTGCGTTTGGAGGGCAAGTACTACTTTGGTGTACAGTTACGTTCTGCTTTGAATGATTAAAGATGCTTACAATTCTGGCATTTTAAAAAAATTCCTTTCTTTAGCACTTTGGTATTGCACCATTTCAGATCTATGTGACAGTGCAGAAGATTGCAAACTCATCAAGAATATCTTACTTCAGTTATAAGTATACAGACTGTTCCAGATTCGGGAATGGCAACAAGTTGAGGGAGAAACAAACAATAGAAAAGTTACATTGCCCAATTCTCACTTCTTATTCCCGCTTATTTAAGGCAGGGGATGCTGGCAGAATTGTAATAGAGTTTTTTTGATAAAACAAATTGCAGCACCAAAACACTCAAAAGAAGCAAAAGCGAGAGCAAAGAAATCTTACACACAAATAATATTGTGATTGCTGTATCCACACATTTTTAAACAGGAGAAACATTTTCATACAAAAACTGGTCTCCCATGCCTAATGGAAGAAATCAAATGAGTTGACTCATTTATATGCAAAACAATTTGGACAATATCAGTATTCCCATGGAAGTTGGATTGCCAATGTTTAATTGTATAAGTGAGAGCTAATAGCAATAACTTCCACCTCTGCATATGGCTCGCTGCTACAGAAGGTTTCCTTGCATGAGACCCAAATACTATGGTCAATGCCTGTGGTCCATTAGTATTGCATATTCACAGCCATACAGGTCTTGGTGGAATCATCTAATGCTAAAAATGATTCCTAGAGCTTCTGTGCATTGTTAGTTTCTTTTCTTAGTTTGTTTAAATGATCTTGATGCTAAAGCTTCTCTTCACCATTGGGTAACGTGGGAGAAACAACTACAATAATAAATTGCACAATGGCTGGACAACGGTTGTAAGATTTGGGACACACCTGCTTCTGGTAATTTAGCAAGACCAAAAATGAACATAGCAAATTTGTGTGGTTTAGGTTCTGGTGCCTCTATTATGGATTTTATTTTGAAGGTGCCGTGTACAGTCATTTATGCAAAGGGACATAGCCTAAATATTAAATGGAAAATTTAAAAAATTCACGTCTTTCCTCACTCATAAGCCATAATATTTAAGTCTCTTCAGAATAGCATCTAAATTGCAGAGATGGTCTTTTTAGTTTCTCTCAGTGACTGAAATATCATCCAGGTAACACTGGTATCCTTCCAACTGACTTAAAATCTGATCCAGAATAACATGTGATTTCAAATGGAATTGTATTTGAATTATTCTTTATGTTACAATAATCAATTTTACTGACCAATAAACCTTTATAGAAGAATTTACGAGTTATAGGAACATAGCAAGAGGAATAGGCCACTGAGCCTATCAACCCTGCTCTGCCATTCGATAACAGCATGGCTGATCTGATTATGCCCTTAACTGCACTTTCCCACCTGCTCCTATCACCTTCAACTCCATGGTCAATCCGATATTTGACCAATTCAGCTCTGAATATATTCAAGAAAATTTCAAACACTAACCACCCTCAAAATACATTTCTTCTCATCCCGGTCTTAAATGGGAGGTCCCTTATTTTTAAATTGTGCTCCCTAGTTCTAGATTCCCTACTGAGGAGCCGATCTTCTCAGCATTCACCTATTTCAATAAGGTCCCTTGGTCAGTTTTACTAAATGATAAAATTATATTCAAGACTTTTAAATTGTGGCTCTTGGTGTTCTTGTGCCTAAGAAGGAATCAATTTTAAAAACACCTGTGTTCCGCAAATAGATGCAACATGTCACAGCAATAAGTTCAAGCAGAGGACACAGCCAGTTTTGTGCTGATGGCATTTTTCAATTGTATTTTTTTATATATTAGTGTGACAACCTGATTTGCACTGGACAAAAACCACTAAAAAGGTCTGACCAATTTTTGGACGAATTGTGCAGAAGTCCACTTTGGAGAAACTCCATGTTGAAAAATCAAACAGCCACACCTACACAACAGAAGGGTTATATCAAGCTTGTGAGCTATGCACTGGTCACCACTGAATTGATTGGCCATTGCTTTTTTTTTGGAATATTGTTATCATCAAAATAGTTTTTGGATGCGCCTAAATAACAGTGTCTGTACTTCAACATAATTGATTGTCTTTGAAGTGTTTCCAATGCATTTCTCAGAGCAAAACACAAGCCTCTTCTTCCTAATTGCTAGATCAACCACGGAGCGATACTAATGGCTTAGATGGAGAAACAGAGTCCTAATTGTCACTCTTTAGGATACAACAGGATACATGATTCAAGTGATAGGAAATAGCGAATTGGAGAAACAAAGAAGGCATTACAGACTGAAAAGCACAAATAGTTTTCTTTCCAAAGAACTGAGTGCTATTGACAATTTTTGTCAAATTTCATGATAAACAAGAAGAAATATTTTTTAAAATATCAAAAAGTCTTCCTTTTGTCCTGACGGTTTAGAGTTTACCCAATGACCAGACTGATGAGGAAAGTTCCAAGCTGAATTCTCCTAGGCCTATGCAGAAAATCCGGATATGACCTCCGCAAAGCCATCAGAGATGCTAACAGAGGGCTAAGTTAGAGGCTCAAACCAACCATACAAACATCTTCCGCCTGTGGAGAGGCCTAAAAAAAGGGATAAAAAATGAAGCAGAGCAAGATAGCGGGGAAAAAAAAACATCCCTCCCTGATGTGCTCAATGCTTTCTATGCTTGGTTCAAGCAGAATGTCAATGGCGCGGTGTCACCTGCCCCGACAGCTCTGAACACACCTGTTCCCTCCATCGCCACTGAAGACATCAGATCAGTCTTCCTGAAAGTCAACCCAAGGAAAATGATGGGCCTGGATACAATCCCCGGCTGTGCACTTAGATCTTGTGCAGACCAGCTGGCGGAGGTATTCACTGACGCCTTCAACCACTCCCTCCTACATGCCGAAGTGCCTACCTGTTTCAAGAAGACCACCATCATCCCAGTACCTAAGAAAGCACGTGCAACATGCCTTAATGACTACCGCCCAGTGGCTCTGACCTCCATAATCATGAAGTGCTTTCAAAAGTCTGGTCACGGCCCACATCAACTCAAGCCTCCCAGCTTGTCTCAATCTCCTGCAATTTGCTTACCGATGTAACAGGTCCACAGTGGACGCCATTTCCCTAGAACATCTGGACAACAAGGACACCTATGCCAGACTCCTACTCGTCGACTACAGCTCCGTCTTTAACACCATAATCGTCTCCAGACTGATCTCAAAACTCAGACCTAGGTCTTGGCTCTGCCTTCTGCAACTGGACCCTCAGCTTTCTGACCCACAGACTGCAATCAATGAAGATAGATGACTACACCTCCTCCACGATAACCCTGAACACTGGAGCTCCCCAAGGATGCATTCTTAGCCCCCTACTGTACTCCCTGTACACCCATGACTGTGAACACCATCTACAAGTTTGCTGATGACACAACTGTGGTAGGATAGATATCAATCAACGATGAGTCAGAATACAGAAAGGAGACAGAGGTCTTGCTGTCATGGTGCATTGATAACAACCTCTCTCTCAATGTCGGCAAAACAAAAGAACTCATCATTGACTTGAGAAAGGAGGAGGAGAACACCCTCCCATCTACACTAATGGGGCAGAGTTTGACAAGGTTGACAGCATTAAGTTCCTAGAAGTGACGCTAACCAATGAGAATTGTCCTGGACTTCCCAAGTAGATACAACGGTCAAGGTGGCACAACAATGCCTCTTCTTCCTCAGGCGGCTTAGGAAATTCGACATGTCCATAAGGACCCTCACCAACTTTTACAGATGCACCAGAGAAACTACCTCTTCCATGAAGCAGAAGGTACAGAAGCTTGAACATACACCAACAGTGTCAAAATCAGCTTCTTCCCTGCCGTGATTAGACTGATGAATGGACTCTCTAACTTTAAATAATGTTGATCTTGCTTCGCGCATCTCTTGTGCAATGTAACCTGTATGCCTCACTCTGTCTAAACACCCTATGATCTGTATGTCCTTGCTTGCTATGATCTGCCTGTACTGCTTGCAAAACAAAGCTTTTCACTGCACTTAGGTACTCGTGACAACAATAAATCAAACCAAATCAAATCAGTGCATACTGGGATAATTTGATTGGATTCAACGCCCTTAAATGCAAGAGAGGAACAGACATATTCCTGCTCATGACAGCTATCCAATTACCCCTGCTGGAAGGTGAACAAGTATGGATAAACACAGGATCAAGCTCAGTTGCATCCTTCTGTTTATTCTTTTAAGAGATGTGAGCCAGCATTTACTGTCCATCCCTAGTTGCCCTTGAGAAGATGATGAGCTACCCTCTTGAACTGCTGCAGTCCACTTAGTTGAAGTAGTCACACAGGCCAGGATTATGACCCAGCAACACTGAAGAAATGGTAATATATTCTCAAGTCAGAATAGTAAATGGCTTTTAAGGGAACATGCAGTTGGTGGCATTCCCATGGGGAGGCTCCACAAACCTTCCAAAGCCTTTCCTGCAGGTGAATACACAAATCAATGCCCAAATATAAAATTGATGAATTTTTAGGGCACTGGAGGGTAGATAGATGTCCTTGAATCAAGATGATTCTATTTCAGGTTTGGAGAGAAAAGACGAGGGGGAAAGAGTGAAAATTAAAATAGTTCTCTAAATACAAATATATCTTTTTCAAATCCAGTAACTGAATTTCAGAAAATGTCCAGTCTTTGAGGATACAGAAGAATTTTCAAAAGTAACATTTGGCTTTACAATATTAATTTTCCCTAAAGGTTAATAAAGCTAGAGAAATGTCAGTTGTCAGAAAATTAACAATGTTCAATTCACAAACGAGCTGCTGCAATAATCAATTTTATCCAAGTTAATATAATAGTTTATCTATGCATGACCATTAGCAAGACATTCCTGTAGCTCAAAAATGTATTGTAACTAGTGTATTTCATTCAGTGTTTCTCTGGCCATTCATACAAACTAAGGGTGTTTTATTACAAGATTTAAGGGAGCAATTTGCCCTTTTTCTGCCAACATAATAATCAAACTGAATTTAGAACAGTTCATAACTGATGTCCAGATCAGTAGCCTACATTTGAATTGGTGCAACCACAATATAACCAGTCAAGAGGGAAAACACTCAGCCAGACTAAATGGTACCATTCGTTTTGTCTTATTTCCAATAAACTAAATCAAAATTCATAAATATGAAGACACTATACAAAGATTACCAGAATAAAAAGAGAAAAGGATGGTAGTCTTGGGGTAGCGATAAGGGTTTAATGATTTGGCTCTTTCACTGCTTAATAATTACTCATTCATAAAGACTACCCTGGATTGAGTAATTATGTAACTCACTTCATGAATTTCATTGATCCTTAATTTCTTATTTTAATATAATAATGTAGACAGAGTATGAATATCTTTTGCACTGTGAAGATATTGGTACTTTCCCAAAATCCATGGCTGTACCTGACATCTGTGATTATGATGAGATGTTCGCAGTCGCCCTGGTGACAATACAAGTAAGGATAGCCAACCTTAATGCACATATCATTGAATGTATAGTCCTCCATTTTAGCTGTTCGAAATTTCCCACAGCCTCGGTCATGGGACTCTGCCCATTCAATAATGGTCCTAAAAGAGGGTAGAGAGAACTAGTCTAATAAAGCAAAACTGATTGTGAAAGTACAAAAATGCAAGCAAAGTAGATTCTATTAAATGAAACAAGCAGTGTTTGGCTGATTAAGTACTTCTGATGTAAAAGCTAATTGGCAATGGCAACTATCAAGCAACACATACAGATCCAGTATATTAGCAGGGAGGATCCAAAATTGGATAGTGGTACTTTCCTGATATCCTAGTCAAGTTATTACTTCACCCAACTCCAATTTTAAAAACAAAATCTAAGTTGACATTCAGAGCACTGGTGGGACATTGCTGTGTCAAAATGCTAAACATGAGTTAGTTCGTATACTGGAAGTTTTTTTTACCCTGGAAGCAGTGCCAAACAAAAATGGTGTTTGATAGCAAAAGTTACAACTCACTTGAATGATAACAAATTGGTGGCTGTCTCAAGCTTTAGTCATTGCTAAATTTCATTTTTTATTCTTTCCCCTTTCACAGCTGGGACCTTTAGTTCAATATTAAAAAAAAAAAACTTTCTTCAATGACTATCTGCCACATTTAACCAATGAGTTATGAACCTTGCTGAAAATTACCCGATTTAATGCTCATTGTAGAGTTGAATGACACCTACCACATTTTTGCAGCTACTGCGAAGAATAGACTGTAGGAGATAGAGGAAATAACTGGTTCAGCAATTCACTGCCAGACCTAGCTGGCTCCTTAGGGTTCGACATTCCTCTGCCTAAAACGATCATTACAACAGGATCATCCCTGGCAACAAAAAAATTCTGGTTTCTTTTCACTACTGCAGTCTGTCCTTTTTAACTTGTCACTTTCACAATCACCGATAAGTGACAGGAGCTCATGGACTGCGCTAAGACTATGACTGAAACCATTCTATTAAAGCTTACCTTGCTTCCCCTAACCAAACGGACACTTACAATCCCCCCTCTTGCCTTGAGCTCAAGTCCTCCTCCATCTTTTCTTGTATTCCGCCAAATATCTGCAACATTACAACATTCATCTTTGTAGAGACACCCAACCTTAGGTCATAGACTGTTGAAATCCTCGTAACCTTAAGACAATTCCAGCTGGTGTCTCACACTCTACCCTCTGGTCAACCAAAACTCTAAAAACCAAAAGTCCCAACATGCACCAATCCTTATTCACTCAAGCCCCCTACACTTGCTTACTTATATGGCTCCACCTCTTCATGTTTCTGTAATCTCCTCCAGTCTGACAACTGAGTTTTGCACCCCAATCCTAGTCTTTGAGCACCCTTGATTTTTTGATCTCAAACTCAGAATAGCATTCCCCAAACCTCCATCTCACGATTTTTCTCTCCCTCTGTAAAATACTCATTTAACCCTACATTTCTGATCATATTTTTGGTAATTTGTTTAATAGCTCCTGATGTGGCTAGGTATCAAATTTTGTTTGATAAATCTATTGAGATACCTTGGGCTGTTTTACTATTTTGAAGGCTACAAGATCTTATTATAGCAGAGACAAATTGTTATATTCCCAATCCATTTGATACTCTAAAAATATTTTATGAGAGCTACTGTACCTGCTCAAATCTCTGCACTCAGAATATCTCATGTCGTTATAGAAAGTTCCTTCAAAGTAGAAAAAGGCTGACTTGTACAAGTCCTATTTTTTAAAAAAAGTTAATTTTTATTAATTACATATTAATTCTTAACATAAAAAAGCAATTAAATGAAACAACAACTATTTGCAATAGACTGGAAAAATGATTTGAAGAGGACGAGAATGAGCATTGAACTAAAAAGTAAGCAAACAACTTCTAGACGAACACATTAATAAAGCAGCAGTGGAAACATTTAAAATTGTGGGTAACAGAATCTTGGAAATTTCCCAGTAAGTAGCACGAATAAACAAGCTAGCAATGAAAAAGGAAAGTACTGTGGGTGCTGGGGGTCTGAAATAAAAACAAATTACTGGTCAAACTCAGGAGGTCTAGCAGTCCCTGTACAGAGAACATTTTCAGTCCAATACGAACTGGATGGGGGAGTGGTTTTTGGAAAAGTGACGGGTGCTATGCTGTAGGAAAAAAAGGGGAGAGATGACTAGAACAAATGGTAAAGTTAGTCCAGAGCAAAAGACCATGGTAGCAGAGGGGTGAAATAGATGAACAGGTGGTGTTAATGTTGGGTGTTATTAACAGAAAACTAGTCAGTTCTACTGTCTAGGGATGGAAGAAGAGGAGAGAAATGAGAGGTGTGTGCCTTTAATCAAAATTGAGTACAGAGTTTATTGCCTGAAGTTGTTGAACTTAATGTTGAGTTCTGTACACTATAAAGTGCTTAAGGGGAAATGAGGTGCTATCCCTGCACCTAGTGTTGGGATTCACTGCGACAACGCAGTGGTCTAGGACAGAAATAATTTTTAAAAATGCAAAAATGAAATTAAAGGTACAAACTAAAGTAATAAACAACAAAGCTGAGAATAAGGAAAAGGAATACCAAAAGTTCAGAAAATAAATGTAAAATTAATTAGGAAGATGAAAATGAAACAAAATTTAGTGATAAAGATACATAAAAAGAAATAGCAAGACTTTCTACAGGCAGAAATAAAATCAAGGTAGGGACAGAGCCACCAAGGAATCCATATAAAAAATGACAGTGAAATGGCAGAAATATTACATACTTTGCTGGAAAGATTAAAATAGTTGACAGAGCATTAAAAGAGACTTACAATACTTTCACAATATTGGTATCCAATAATGCAACAAAGATGATCAAAATTCAAATTCATTAAAACAATCACACAAGATTCTTCAAATCATCAATAACAGGAGACAGCAAAAAGATATTTTTTCAATGGCAAATTTTCAGAAATTGCATTGTTGACCAGGATAGCAACATAGTAACTTGGGACATGCAACAGTGTCAATTTAAGTACTATTCCTAAGGGAAGGGGTGTACAGTTTGGTGCTTTTGGACATACTGTCAAAGCTATCTAGCAGGAAGACCTCTACCAACTGGGCTATGTTTCACTGGATCGATTGGGTCTTAATAGTGAATAATGTGTATTACTTATGAGCACTTTCATTTATGTAGCATCGCCAAACAACACAAAATGCTTTCCAGTCATTTGAATATTTCTGAATTGGATCTACTGCTACAATGTAGGAAACGTGACCACCAATTTATGTATAGCTATGTCCCACAGCAGTAATAATCTATCCGATTATTACTGTGTTTGTATGAATGTTATCTAAGAGTTGAATAGGGCCAGGAGATTAGTGAGAACTCCCCTTGTCTTCTTCAAAGTTGCAAAGGATAATTGTGTTACCCAAGGGGGTATAGGGGATCTCAGCTTAACAGTTCATTGAAAAGGTATCAATCCCAGCAGTACTACACTGTTTTTTAAAATTCATTCATGGGATGAGGGCATTGCTGGCTAGGCAGCATTTATTGCCCATCCCTAATTGCCCAGAGGGCAGTTAAGAGTCAACCACATTGCTGTGGGTCTGGAGTCACATGTAGGCCAGACCAGGTAAGGATGGCAGTTTCCTTCACTCAAGGACTTTAGTGAACCAGATGGGCTTTTCCCCAACAATCAGTCATCGCTAGATTCTTAATTCTAGATATTTATGGAATTCAAATTCCACAATCTGCCGTGGTGTGATTCGAACCTGGGTCCCCAGAGAGTTTTCTGGGTCTCTGGATTAACCGTCTAGCAATAATACCACTAGGCCATTGCCTCCCCTTGCTGGAATGTCAAAGGAGGTCATCTGCTCAAATTTCTGGATTGGGGCCTGAATTCTGATGAATAGGATTTCTGAATACAACAGATTTGTTGGAGTCTACCAAAAGTTGTCTGTTGGTGCCCTTCTTGTAGCATCTTCATCTGTATTGCTATCCCTTTGTTTCGATTCACATTAACAGGCACATCCATGATTCACAGATGGCATTTTCTACTTCTCTGCCAATCAAATGTTTAGTAAATGGAGACTGCAATATTAGCTTTGCTCCAGTTAAGTGGCATTTAAAATATTATCTGTAAATTTGCATTTTATTTGAGACTCAAACAAAGTTAGGATCAGGAAGAATGCTATTTATGATGGAATTACATATTGACACTCACTATCTGTGCATGTGCTTGACAAATGGTCACTTGTGAAGGCTGTGCATGCCTGAAAATGAATTACAAAACTCAAAGATGCCAAGTTTGTCCTTGAAAAATAACTTAACAGAACATGCACAGCAACCTTGTTCGAAAGGTGACCATATTTGACAGGTGGAAATACCCAAAGTCTAAATGGACTGAAAGGATCAAAAATGAATACCTTGCTAATATGTTCTGGAGCCAAGTCTGGAGTATTGCTGAATTCTCCACCAATCTGAAGGTCACTGACACAAGAGATGGCATCTCTTAGCTCAGTTAATCTCTGACTACCCAACACAAGTAGGGTGTGGTGGGGTTTGTTCTCCCTGTGCTGTGGGAAAATAATTGAAATCGTTCTGTGGCATTAAAATGTCTTTGAACTAAAAAGCAGTGTAATTTTATTAAAGAAAGACAACAACAAACAAGCACGTAAGTTGTGTAACCATCAGTAAAACAAAACTCTTTCAACATTGGTGTATGTTAACGTGCCTCAGAGTTCATTTGCAAACTGGTGACTTTTTAATATAGTGAATAGCTAAGATAAAGAGCAAAATATTTTACGTTCAATCTGTAAATAAGATGTATAGTGAATGGAAAGCAGTTACAATCAGGCTCAGCAATCAACATGAGAAAATCCAATCAGGCACATAACCCTTGTCATTATATACCAACCACTGCTGGAAGAGTTAATTCAATGTAAAACACAAACAGGATTGAGATTGGCAGCAATGGCACATGGGAAATAGCTTGCAGGTGTTAAAGTCGGTCAGCAGAATATTATAGTTTTGGCAATTAACATGTTAAACTTAAAAAGATACTGAATTATTTAAACTGTGGAGGTCCAAATAAACACAGGGCTCATCATCGTCAAATTTTCGGCCCAACAAGTCCACACCGACCCTCGGAGCATCCCACCCAGACCCATCCCCCTCTCACCTACCTAATCTACACATCCCTGAACACTATGGGCAATTTAGCATGGCTAATCCACCTAACATGCACATCTTTGCACAGTGGGAGGAAACCGGAGCACCTGGAGGAAACCCACGCAGACAGGGAGAGAATGTGCAAACTCCACACAGGCAATCGCCCGACAGTGGAATTGAACCTGGGTCCCTGGCGCTGTGAGGCAGCAGTGCTAACCACTGAGCCACTGTGGTCATACTTAAAGCTGTTAAGTCTCCAGGATAGGATGCTTCTGGAAGTTGCTGAGGGAAGTAAGGGTAGAAAGTTACTTACCACAAGCAATTCTCCTCTGAAATGGAAGTTGTAGCAAAGAATTAGAGAATTGCAAACATTACTTGTTCAAAAAAAGAAGGGATGAACTAAGCAACTATAGGCCAGTCAATTTAAACTCAATGGCAGGAAAGCTTGTGGAAAACAATAATCCTAGTCAAATTAAGTTACTTGGTCAAGGTTGCATTAATTGTGCAAAGCCAACATGGATTTGTTAAAGTCAAATCGTATTTAATAGGGATAGTAGGAACTACAGATGCTGGAGAATCCGAGACAACAAGGTGCAGAGCTGGATGAACACAGCAGGCCAAGCAGCATCATAGGAGCAGAAAGGCTGACGTTTCGGGCCTAGATCCTTCATCAGATTTCTGATGAAGGGTCTAGGCCCGAAACGTCAGCCTTTCTGCTCCTATGATGCTGCTTGGCCTGCTGTGTTCATCCAGCTCTGCACCTTGTTGTCTCGGATTTAATAGCTTGAGTTTTAGATGAGCAAATGAGGGAATTGGTGAGGGTAATGGTTTTATCTTGTAGATATGGATCTCCAAAAGATGTTTGATAAAGTGCCACATAATAAGCTTGCCAAAAAACTTGAAACTCATGGAATAAAACAGCATGGCAGAATTAATGCAAAGTTTATAGTAAAGATAATGAGAAAATACAAAAAAGCTAAGAATGGTACCAGACACAGATTTCACTTTCAAGGCTGAATGGGCTGGACCTTTATCTTGAGAAAAGAGAAGATTTAGAGAAGATAAATGAACATAAGATTATTAATAAGATAGCAAAGATTGGTGTAGACAGAATACTTCCACTTGTGGAAGAATCTAAACCAGACTCAAATTGAAGACAACCACTAATAATCTCAATAGATAAATAAGGAAGACATTATTTTCTTAGAGAGGAATTAGAATGTAGAACACCCAGCTACAGGAAGCAGGTAAAGCAATAGCCTTAATCCTTTTAAAAGGAAAGTATTCAAATGCATGAGAAAACTGGGAATGAGAAGATATGATGAAAGGATGAAAGGATGAACTGATGCCATGACTTTTTTTTTGGGGTGGTGGTGGTGGTGGTGGTTGGGGGGGGGTGGTGGGGTAGAGGTTGCGGTGGTGTCAATAAATGCCAAAACACCATAGCTGGGCAGAGTGACCAATTGCAATACATTCTATGAAACTGGCAACACCTACTACAGTTTGTTTTACCATTTTACCAAGGTGCTTTCAACTAGCTTCAAGTTAACACACAACTGCATTCTGAGGAAGGGTCACCGGACCTGAAACGTTAACTTTGCTTTCTCCTCCACAGATGCTGCCAGACCTGCTGAGCTTTTCCAGCAACTTTGTTTTTGTTCCTGATTTACAGCATCTGCAGTTCTTTTGGTTTTTAGTTTAAAGTTAACATGCATGTATTGTGTGAATGAGTACTGAGATCACATGCTGAATAGTGGTGTTTATTACTAACCTCTTTTAACAAAGAGAACTGGTATGTGTGACATCTGGATCCTCAAAATAGCCACCTGTGACTGGTGGCGAGCAAAATGGAACCTAATACGTACCTTAACAAATATAATAGGGGAGTAGACATTAACAGTTAGAATTACTTCTCCGGCTGCAATGGAATCTTCTGGATTACCGGGCTTTCTTCCTACTGTTTGCATTTCCTGAATTGCACAAAATAAGAATAAAAACCGTAAGATACAAACACTGTAGTTGACTACAGCAGCATCATTCTTCCAAAGTAGAATTTTGAAATTCAGTTTCATTCAAGTTGATTCTTAAATCAATCTTCTAACCTGCTCCACCTACAACATGGAAGGTTTAGAATCTAATTCCAATCAAAATCTCAAATATTTTATGGATTTAATGAGTAATTATGACAATCCTCTCACTTATTTTCTATGGAATAACAAAGAGCAAAGCTACAGTAGCACTAGAGAAGTTAGCTTAATGGCTACTACTGGAAAAAAATGTTTGTGTCTACAATAACAGGGTAATAGCACAACATTTAGAAATACATAATATTATCAAGCTGAGGCAGCATGGCTTCATGAAAGAAAATCATGCCTGACAAGCTTATTCAAAATTCGTTGAAGAGGTAACGATCAGAATGGATAAATGGGAAGAAGCGGATGCAATATATTTGGATTTGCCTGAAAGTCAACATCTCACCAATTCTGCAAACTAATCTAGCCCTTGCTTCACATGGCACTTGACTGCATCCCCAACATTACAAACTTAGTGCATCATGGCACGTTTACACACTTCAGAATTCAACTGTACAGAACAGAATCACAGCATTCCAGGCCCTGACAATTTTCCATATGGGGATAGAATGAAGTGAATGCCCAAGGATTTAAATATTTTGTCTATATCTTAGAACTCTACACTTAATTCTTAATTTTTATTCCTTTATGGGAGCAGTACGTCAGTTAATCAGAAATCCAAACAGAATTTGATTGCAGATAACAAGGTGTAGAGCTGGATGAACAGAGCAGGCCAAGCAGCATCAGTGGAGCAGGAAGGCTGACGTTTCGGGCCTAGACCCTTCTTCAGAAAATTATATTTGTTCCCGTATTGTATTTGTTAAGGTATGTATTAGGTTCCATTTTGCTCGCCACCAGTCACAGATGGCTATTTTCAGATTTTTTGAAGAAGGGTCTAGGCCCGAAACATCAGCCTTCCTGCTCCTCTGATGCTGCTTGGCCTGCTGTGTTCATCCAACTCTACACCTTGTTATCTCAGATTCTCAGCATCTGCAGTTCCTACTATCTCTGAAAGAATTTGATTGAAAATGCTTCTAAAATTAAAACATTAGAATTATGATTAAGGCAGATATACTTACATATTCATGTGCATAAATTTCTTGCCTACAGGCACGATCATGTGTCAAACGCTCTTTTCTCTTTTTAATAACTTTTCTTCGTATTCTGTATAAGGGAAGAATTTCTGGGTAAGAAGTTAAGTTTAAAAATAAAATGGCTATAGCCATTTTATCGGAACAGCTGGACACTAGGTTTCAACTTTCTGCCTAGAGGTCCATTCCAAATGTTGACCACTCATTAGATGAGAAAATTTGACAATGCTCTGAAATTTGTTTTTTCTTCCAAACTGATATTTTTCTGCTTGGAAGTATTATTTAAAAACTATGTTTACTCCAATTTTTTTCTTCCAGTCATGCACATATAATCTGTGCAGTTTTGCTTGAATGATAATAAGCAGGACAGACATTAACACTTCAAAAAAATCATGTAACCACAAGAAATTCTACTTATTCGTGGTAAAAGGGGCTAACATTCCCTATGGGAAATAATTTCTTATAGATTTCTATATCTATTAACAACCTTACAGTATTAAAATACTACCTGCAAAATACTGCAATACTATTAGGAACATTCATGCAGAGGTAATGCTATTAAACTGGGGGGCATGACCCTGTGGTCTGTCTTCTGAGGCTAGACTGCTGCTGCAAAAACAAAAGCAAATAAACGGATAGAGTTTGTTTACAGAAATCCAGCCAGTCAACACCCTACAAGTCCAACACCCATTCTCCTTCCAATGCTGTGCAGTCAGGTGAAACCAAAAACTTGGGCACACTAAGAAAAGATCTGGGAAGTTTACTCCATGTAAATTGCCTTATGGTTCTCCTGCCCTCTATTCTGTTCTCCCTTATACGTTCACCTCGTATTACCTTAAATGTATTTACATTGTTCAGACAACAACTTCCAAGTTCCATGTTCAAACCACTGATTTGTAAAGAAGCTTCCTTTGATTTCCCTATCTGAATTCCTGATTCTTTTCTATCTCGGGCCATTTCACAATCAGATCCCTCTAGAAATTAGCCCTAGTTAATTCCTGGTTTGCTTTTATGGTCTTATTCATTTGTCACTTCTTTCATACCTGTGTTTCACTGCTCTAAAATTATATTCTTCTACTCCATTTAAATTCTTAAATTCTCCTTACCGAATATAATACCTCACTAGCATCAAAATTCGTTTGCTAGCTAGTTATATACTCACTCGGCATGTTTATCATCTCTTCTTGTAACTCCTAACTGTACCCCCAATTTGGTGTCATTCACAAGTTTGAATATTGCATGATTCCAAAGTTAGAATCATTAGTACAAATTGTGAACAACAGGTGACATAAGGATCGATCATTGTGAGACCCAAATTTCTACCAGTCCTTTTGCCACTTTGCTTTTTATCTTTTACATATGGGGTCTGCTGCCTGGAGACCGATTCCTGATTCCAAAGAGCTTCACATGTCCTTTAAAAACCTTTACTGCTCAATAGTAAATCACAGGGTTGTAATAATCAAGCTTCTTGCATGCGAACTGGCTACTGTGATCTTGCATGTATTTTTCTTGCCTTTTAGAAAACTGCACTCTTTGAAATTAAGGGGAAAGTAACCAGCTGATATTCTTAACTAAACGTGTAAATGAGCAAATAAAAATTATACCAAAACTGCCCTTGCAATAGATTGCAGCAAAGAATGCCACATTGCTAGTGAGAAACGTTTCTGACCCACTAATATTTAAAAAAAAGACATTAAACTTCAGAGCTGCATTTCAGACATCTTGGCTGCCATCTTGACCCACCTAGGGGAAAAAAACAAATGTGTTCAATTCAAATCCTTTCCAACTTTGTCTGGTGATCACCAAATTTAGTTGATCATGAAAACGGCTTCTGTTTTTCTGGATGACAGCCTCTCCAACATTAATATTCCACAATTCACAAATTTACTCTTACATAGTTCAGGAGGAAAATATATTGAAGGACTCCTTATCTCAAACAGAAGGAGAAAGACTTTTTATAAACAACAACAAAAACAGAAGTTGCTGGAGATGCTCAGCAGGTCTGACAGCATCTGTGAAGAAAAAAAAAATCAGAGTTAATGTTTCAGGTCCAAATTGCGTTCTGAGGAAGGGTCACTGGACCCGAAACATTAACGCTGACTTTTTCTTCACAGATGCTGCCAGACCTGCTGTGCTTTTCCAGCAATGTGTGTTTTTGGTCCTGAGTTACAACATCCGCAGTTCTTTCAGTTTTTACTTTTTATAAACATATTAACTGGCTCTAATTCATTTTATAGAAATGTGATCACTGAGGAGGTGATTGCTGATATTCCAGAATTAACTTAACAGTATCTTATATAAATTATCCCAAATGCCTCAAGAATTCCAAAAACGTGACAAAAGAATATTAAAATCCCTAACATGGTCACTCACAGGGATCTCTAAATGAATCCTATTAAGCACTCAAGAGGTAACATTGATTATTCAAAAAGCATAACTTTATCCATCTAGTCTGCTCATTCAGTTAGCTATTGTGCCTATACTCTCCACACAGGAGGTTGCAAAACGTTTATTAATATATAACTTCTAACCCCCCAAAAATAACAGCAATGAAGCAGCGACAAAAATAATTATTCTTTTTAAGGCTGTGGGATTTTCTGGAAGTTTTCAAGGGCTCCTTTTGTCCTTCTCATCGCCTCCCTCATTAGGTGATACAAACGCATCATACCATTACCTTGTATGCATGTTGAATTGTGTGTTTAGGTTTGCTTTTTTACATGTAAAAGACAACAAAGTATCAAATATTGTATGTATTTTTTTAAAAAAGTTCATCCATTCATGGGATGTGGGCCTTTTTGCTTGAGAAAGTGACGGTGGACTGCCTTCATGAACTGCCATAATCCATGCACTTGGGATGCTAGGTAGGGAGTTCCAGGATCTTGACCCAGCAATACTGAAGGAACAGCCATATATTCCCAAATCAGGATGGTGAGTGGCTTGGAGAAGAACTCATGGGTGGTGGTGTTCCCATGTATCTGCCGTCTTTGTACTGCTAGATGGCAGTAATCAGGGGTTTGGAAGGTGCCATATAAGCCAGGGTGAATTTCTGCAGTGCATCTTGTAGATGGTACACACTGTTGCTACTGAGCATCAGTGATAGATTAAGTAAATGTTTTTGGATGTGGTGCTAATCAAACGGGCTTTGTCCAGGGTGGTGTCAAGTTTGTGTGCCATTAAAGTTGCACTTATCCAGACAGGTAAACAGTATTCCATCACACTCTTGACTTGTGCCTTGAAGACAGTGGACAGGTGGCAAGTTACTTGCTGCAGGATTCCTAGCATCTCACCTGCTCTTGTAGCTGCTGTACATATGTGGTCAGTCCAGTTTATGGTCAATAATAACCTGCAGGATGCTTATAGTGGGGGAATTCAGAGACGGCAATGCCATTGAACGTCAAGGGACAACAATTAGGTTCACTCATTAGAGTGAGTCATTGCCTGGCATTTTGCAGCACGTCACTCTGGGCAAGTCCCACACCTCCTCTGAAGCTGGGCAATCATCAGCAAATATCCCCAACTTCTGAGCTTATATTTCAGGGAAAGTTATTGATGAAGCCGCTGAAGCTGGTTGGGCGTTGGACACTTTCCCGAGGAACAGCTGCAAACATGACTGACTAATAACCACAGATAGTAGGAACTGCAGATGCTGGAGAATCCGAGACAACAAGGTGCAGGGCTGGTTGAACACAGCAGGCCAAGCAGCATCATAGGAGCAGAGAGGCTGACGTTTCCGGCCTAGACCCTTCATCAGAAAAGGGGGAGGGGAAGGGGGTTCCGAAATAAATAGGGAAAGAGTGGGAGGCGGATAGAAGAGGGATAGAGGAGAGGATAGGTGGAGAGGAAACAAACAGAGAGGCGGGGATGGAGCCAGTAAAGGTGAGTGTAGGTAGGGAGTTAGGAAGGGGATAGGTCAGTCCAGGGAGGACGGACAGGTCAAGGGGGCGGGATGAGGTTGGTCGGTAGGAGATGGAGGTGCGGCTTGAGGTGGGAGGAGGGGATAGGTGGGAGGAAGAACAGGTTAGGGAGGCAGGGACGAGCTGGACTGGTTTTGGGATGCGGTAGGGGGAGGGGAGATTTTGAAACTTGTGAAATCCACATTGATACCATTGGGCTGCAGGGTTCCCAAGCGGAATATGAGTTGCTGTTCCTGCAACCTTCGGGTGGCATCGTTGTGGCCTCCGCTTCTTCCTGTCCCGCAGGCCCGATCAGTCCCCCTCCACTGATACCCTCATCCGCTTAGCCAAATTCGTCCTCACACTCAACAACTTCTCTTTCAATTCCTCCCACTTCCTACAGACAAAGGGGGTAGCCATGGGTACCCGCATGGGCCCAAGCTACGCCTGCCTCTTTGTAGGTTACATGGAACAATCCCTCTTCCGTACCTACACCGGCCCTAAACCCCACCTCTTCCTCCGTTACATTGATGACTGTATCGGCGCCGCCTCGTGCTCCCACGAGGAGCTCGAACAGTTCATACACTTCACTAACACCTTCCACCCCAACCTTAAGTTTACCTGGACCATCTCTAACACCTCTCTCCCCTTCCTGGACCCCTCTGTCTCCATATCGGGCAACCACCTAGAAACCGATATTCATTTCAAGTCCACCGACTCCCACAGCTACCTAGAATACTCCTCCTCCCACCCACCTTCCTGCAAAAATGCTATCCCCTATTCCCAATTCCTTCGCCTCCGCCGCATCTGCTCCCAGGATGAGGCATTCCACTCCCGTACATCTCAGTTGTCCTCGTTTTTCAAGGACCGTAACTTCCCCTCCTCGGTGGTCGAGAACGCCCTCAACCGTGTCTCCCGCACCTCATCCCTCACACCCCGTCCACGCAATAAGAACCAAAAAAGAATCCCCCTCGTCCTCACGTACCACCCCACCAACCTCTGGATCCAACGCATCATCCTCCAACACCAAAGACATCTTTTCCTCCCCACCCTTATCTGCTTTCCGGAGGGACAACTCTCTCCGTGACTCCCTTGTCCGCTCCACACTCCCCTCCAGCTCCACCACACCTGGCACTTTTCCCTGCAACCGCAGGAAGTGCTACACCTGGCCCCATACCTCCTCCCTCTCCCTCACCCCCATCCCAGGCCCCAAGAAGACTTTCCACATCAAGCAGATGTTCACCTGCACATCTGCCAATGTGGTATACTGCATCCGCTGTACCCGATGTGGCTTCCTCTACATCGGGGAAACCAAGCGGAGGCTCGGGGACCGCTTTGCAGAACACCTACGCTCGGTTGGCAATAAACAACTGCACCTCCCAGTCGCGAACCATTTCAACTCCCCCTCCCATTCCTCAGACGACATGTCCATCCTGGGCCTCCTGCAGTGCCACAACGATGCCACCCGAAGGTTGCAGGAACAGCAACTCATATTCCGCTTGGGAACCCTGCAGCCCAATGGTATCAATGTGGATTTCACAAGTTTCAAAATCTCCCCTCCCCCTACCGCATCCCAAAACCAGTCCAGCTCGTCCCTGCCTCCCTAACCTGTTCTTCCTCCCACCTATCCCCTCCTCCCACCTCAAGCCGCACCTCCATCTCCTACCGACCAACCTCATCCCGCCCCCTTGACCTGTCCGTCCTCCCTGGACTGACCTATCCCCTTCCTAACTCCCCACCTACACTCACCTTTACTGGCTCCATCCCTGCCTCTTCGACCTGTTTGTTTCCTCTCCACCTATCCTCTCCTCTATCCCTCTTCTATCCGCCTCCCACTCTCTCCCTATTTATTGCGGAACCCCCTGCCCCTCCCCCTTTTCTGATGAAGGGTCTAGGCCCGAAACGTCAGCCTCTCTGCTCCTATGATGCTGCTTGGCCTGCTGTGTTCATCCAGCCCTGCACCTTGTTGTCTGGAATTCAGCTCTTTTGTTTGAACAAAGGCAACTGAGGTCAGGTCTGAGTGGTCCTGGCAAATCTCAAACTGGGTTTCAGTGAGCAGGCAAGAGCAAAGCAAGTGCTGCTTGATCACACTGTTCACGAAACCTTCCACCACTTTACTGATGATTGAGAGTGGACTGATAAGACAGTAACTAGCCAGGTTGGATTTGTTGATTGCTTTGTGTTTACAGGACATACCCAGACAATTTTCCACATTGTCGGATAGATGCTAGTGTTGTAGCTGTGCTGGGACACCTTGGCTAAGGGTGCGACACATTCGGGAACAGAAGTCTTCAATATTACTGCAATGTTGTCAGGGCCCATAGCCTTTCCACTGTCCAGTGCCTCCAACCATTTTTTGATACCATTTGGAGTGAATTGAATTAGGTGGGGTCTAGGCCCGAAACGTCAGCCCCTCTGCTCCTATGATGCTGCTTGGCCTGCTGTGTTCATCCAGCCCTGCACCTTGTTGTCTTGAATTAGGTGAAGACTGGCACCTCAGAAGCTAGGGATCTCTGGAAGTATGTATTATTTAAAAGTTTTATTCCTTATGCACTTGAAAGCAAACTTCGACAGTTTTTGTCGAGTATGGGTAAATATTTGAAGGGGAAAAACAGACAAGGAACCAATAAAAGTACATAATTTTGAGGAGGAGGACCCTCAGATCTGCATGAGAAATGAACTAACCACATAACTTATTCACAAAGTTAGCACAGATGAAATGGGCTGTTGAATTTTATTAAGGAGTTATACTTGCTTTAGATTTTTTTAAAAAATTCAACTTGCAACATTTAATCAGTTTGAAGGCCTTTCTCAGCCATGCAACATCACCTCATATCAACTTTAACCTTGGACTTTGTAAGTGAGATTCAGACTAGAGATAGAGTCATGCATTTACAGGTTAAGCTCAATTGCAAGACATCAGTCTTTGATAAAATCAATAGCCTTCCAAATAAGCTTACTCATAACAGGCGGTGACTCAGATCATGTCTCAACAGGAAGACAGTTCTGTAAGCACCTTCAATGTCTCCATAGAGCTGAACATTTTGTCTTTATTTTAACTTGTAGTTTGTGTGCAGATTGGGAATACGAGACCAATCGCAGTGATGGATCTGGGCATCTTTTAATCTATAAAGTTCTGACACAGTCCCTCAATACTCCGGGAAAACTCATGGGACTTATGTATTCTTTCTGGTAGTTGCCTTTGAAGACATATTTGCTCAATTTGGCTCCCCCCACCCCACTCCTGGCCTTATTTTCAGCCACCTCTTCAATTTACGATTTCTTCTCCTAGGCCTCCTGGACGGTGTTGAAATTCTACAATCAAATGTGTCAGACTCATTTTCCAGGACAATTGTTCCAGCTCCTCCAATCACAGGTTTCCTTTTCCCAGTCCTGCTGATTCTCCAATCATGGATTTGGTCTCTGGAGGAGTAAGAGGAAGGAAATGGAGGGAACCCGCAGCAGTAAATTACCGCAGATGCCAGAATCTGTACTGAAGACAAAAAATGCTGGCAATCACAGCAGGTCAGGCAGCATCTGTAGAGACGGCAAGCTAACATTGAGTCTAGATGACTCTTCAACACAGCTGGCATTAAGTAAGGAGGGGGCACCACTTATGCAATAGTGGAGGGGTGGAGTGCTGAGGCAGCAAGACTGCTGATAGTGCAGACTAAGTGATCAGAATGTGAGAATGGCAGAGCAATGGTGTGGCTAACTGCCAAACTGAAAAGAACAGATGGTCCTACTGGAGTGAGGGGTGGGGAGAGAGGATTTGGTGACAGAGAATGCAGCAAGTAAAGCTAAAGGGAAAGAAAAGGGGAAACCTGTAATCGGAAAAAGGTGAAAAAACCAAGCATGGGATGGACAGAATCTACGATTGGAAGACCAGCTACTCAAATTCTACTCAAAGATGCCAGAAATTATTCAGCCCCATTTGGGCCATGGAGGAGACAATAATATGAGGTAGTACTGGATGGGGTAACCTTTCTTGAACTTTTCACTCCAGATTTTCTTTGGGGATTACTTGTGACATTAAGGACAAATTCACCTGCCAGACTCAAGCATTTTGAATCCTCCAATAAAACACAGTATACAGCATTTTTTAAAAAGAAGATTTCAGTATTAATTCCTTACGTATGTGCAGCACTCATCAAAAACCATCACTGGCCTTATGGCATACAAACATCTTCAATCTCTACACCCTGGTCTGATAACTTTTACCACTGGTTTTTCTTCTTCAGCTATCCTAGTTTCCTGTTCTTTACGCCTCCCTCTGTAGAGCTCACTTCAGACATCTTCTATGAGCCTGCATGCAACTGTCAGCACTTTCTACAAATTATCACATGCAAGTTTCAATTAGATCAGAGAGAGAAACCCTGATAATCGAAGATTGAACAGGGAAAGCCTTCAAATCTGAGGCGTAGAGAGGTGCTGGAACAAAAACAGAAGTTGCCGGAAAAGCTCAGCAGGTCTGGCAGCATCTGTGAAGAAAAATTCAGGATTAACGTTTCAGGTCCAGTGACCCTTCCTCAGAACTTGAGTTCAGAGGTGCTGGATCTGACTACAGTAAAATCCACATGAATGTGACCTTCAAAGAGAAAAAGCTTACTTATGTTTTATTATAATAAATAATAGATACTAACCCCACAGTGAAGCAATAAACACTCAATATTGAATGACAGCTTTCAGTGCAGCAAGTACATTTGTAACTTAAACATCTAAATGTACAAGTAAATACCATCTGACAGTAGAATGAAAAATACTGCTTATCCTTAACAGCAATCTCTTAGCTCATCGTACACAGTTGTATAGCAAAAGATACCTTCTTTCTTTAAGACCAAATTCCAGAATGGCAAGATCTCAGGGCCAGAGTTTGTTAGATCAGTTGCTGGATAGCTCGCGTACAGCGCATGATGACAATAAAAATGGTGACCCATCTCCATGCCTTGCTCCCCAAACTATATAATTACTTGTCTCTAACTGAAATACTTGCCTATGGTCCCTTGTGAGCTATGATTAATTATCTATTGGAGGACTTTCCTTGTTATGAATTCGGGCAAAGATATCCCACTTGTACAAAAACTGGGATGTGTTAACTCGGGGCCATGAAATGCTGGCAGTGGAGTCAGAGTGGTGAAGGCCAGCTGGGCAATGACATAGCAATAGCAAACATGGATGAAGAGGTGAATAAATATAATAAAAATACATACTGTAATGTGACGAGGTCTGTATCTTCAGGGATGACATCTGTACTGGTGTCCTGTTCAGTGCATTTCAATGTATCAACACTACAAAACAAAGAAAAAGTTTTCAATAGTCATTAGGTGAAACGGTGATGTAGATATAGCTGCCTGTACTTCACAAATTGGAAAACAAAAGCATCAAAAGTTTATCTGGAATTATTAAGCCTGTCACGTAGAACACACCCTCTTTTAATCAGTTTGTATAAAGTGATTGGTTCAGCCTCAGACTGGGTTAATACCCTCAATTCTGACAGTTTAGGGGGCGTCAAGCCTTGAGGAGATTTACTAAAATAATACCAAGAATCAAGATCTTCATTTATGTTGTGAGACTTAAGGCATGAGAATTGTTCTCTTTGGAGCAGTGATCTAATTTGATTTAAAATTGAAAGGCTTCAATGGAATGAATAATGAGAAATGAGCCTCCTTTTGAGTTGTAAAATTATATATTTGCCAGTTAATATTCTTCAGTTAACGCAATGGAGGCAACATTGGATTACACTTGCATGAAGCCACCCTAAATAGAGTGATCCCTCTTCAAACCAGTTGAGTCTTACAACTCAGTCATACAGCACGGAACACATCATTCCATCCAATTCATCCGTGCCAACCAGACATCATAAATTAATCTAGTCCCATTTGCCAGTATTTGGCCCATATCCCTCTAAACCCTTCCTATTCATGTACCCATCCAGCTGCCTTTTAAATGTTGTAATTGTACCAACCTCCACCACTTCCTCTGATAGTTGATTCCATACATGCACAACCCCCTGCATGAAAAAGTTGCACCTTTGGTCCCTTTTAAATATTTCCCCTCTCATTCCTAAACCTATGCCCTCTGGTTTTGGACCACCCCCTATACTGGGGAAAAGACCTGACTATTCACCCTATGTATACCCCCCATGATTTTACAAACCTCTATAAAAGAACATAAGAGCTAGAGCAGGAGTAGGCCGTCTGGCCCTTCGAGCCTGCTCTGCCATTCAATAAGATCATGGCTGATCCTTTCGTGGACTCGGATCCACTTACCCGCGTTCTCACCGTATCCCTTAATTCCTTTATTGTTCAAAAAAGGAAAAACTACCTTTTTTTAGAAACATTTACTGAAGTAGCTTCAAATACTTCACTGGGCAAGGAATTCCATAGATTAACAACCCTCTGGGTGAAGAAATTCCTTCTCAGTTCAGTCCTAAATCTGCTCCCTCTAATCTTGAGGCTATGCCCTCTTGTCCTAGCTTCACCTGCCAGTGGAAACATCCTCTCTACTTCTATCTTATCTATTCCCTTCATAATTTTATATGTTTCTATAAGATCCCCCCTCAATCTTCTGAATTCTAATGAATATAATCCCAATCTACTCAGTCTCTCCTCATAAGCCAACCCCCTCAACTCCGGAATCAACCTAGTGAACCTCCTTTGCACCCCCTCCAGTGCCAATACATCCTTTCTCAAGTAAGGAGAGCAAAACTGCACACAGTACTCCAGGTGTGGCCTCACCAGCACCTTGTACAGCTGCAACATAACCTCTCTGCTTTTTATTTCAATCCCTTTAGCAATGAAGGACAAAATTCCATTTGCCTTCCTAATTACTTCTTGTACCTGCAGACCTACCTTCTGTGATTCATGCACAAGGACACCCAGGTCCCTCTGCATAGCAGCATGCTGCAACTTTTTACCATTCAAGTAATAATCCTTTTTACTATTACTCCTACCAAAATGTATGACTTCACATTTATTTACATTGTATTCCATCTGCCAGACCTTTGCCCACTCACTCAATGTATCTATGTTCCTCTGCAAAGTTTTACAGTCCTCCGCACACTTTGCTCTGCCACTCATCTTAGTGTCATCTGCAAACTTTGACACCCTACACGTGGTCCCCAACTCCAAATCATCTATATAAATTGTAAATAATTGCGGTCCCAACACCGATCCCTGAGGCACACAACTAGTCACTGACTGCCAGCTAGAATAGCACACATTTATCCCCACTCTTTGCTTCCTGTTAGTCAACCAATCCTCTATCCATGCTAATAATTTACCCTTAATGCCATCCTTATCTTATGCAGTAGCCTCTTGTGCGGCACCTTGTCAAAGGCCTTTTGGAAGTCTATGTACACCACATCCACTGGGTTCCCATTGTCCACCTCGCTCGTAATGTCTTCATAGAATTCCAAAAGATTTGTCAAGCATGACCTGCCCTTCATGAACGCATGCTGCATCTGCCCAACGGGACAATTTCTATCAAGACTCCTTGCTATTTCTTCCTTGATAATAGACTCAAGCATCTTCCCCACTACAGAGGTTAAGCTAACCGGTCTATAATTCCCCATCTTTTGTCTACTTCCCTTTTTAAATTGTGGCGTCACATTTGCTGTTTTCCAATCTGCTGGGACTGCCCCAGAGTCCAGCGAATTTTGGAAAATTACCACCAGAGCACCTGCTATTTCTCCCGCCATCTCTTTTAGTACCCTGGGATGCATTCCATCAGGGCCAGGAGACTTATCAATCCTTAGCTCCATTAGCTTGCCCAACACTGCGTCTTCCGTAATTATGATTGTTTCCAGGTCCTCACCTACCTTCGTCTCTTTGTCAATTACTGGCATGTTATTAGTGTCCTCCACTGTGAAGACCGATACAAAATACCTGTTCAACGCCTCGGCCATTTCATCATATCCCATAACTAAATTCCCCTTCTCATGCTCTAAAGGGCCAACGTTTACTTTAGCCACTCTTTTTCGTTTTATATATTTATAGAAACTTTTCCTATCTGTCTTTATATTCTGTGCTAGTTTTTTCTCATGTTCTGTCTTACTTTTCCTTATAGCTCTTTTTGTGGCTTTCTGTTGACCTTTAAAGTTTTCCCAATCTTCTAGTTTCATGCTGTTTTTGGCCACTTTGTACGCCTTCTCTTTCAATTTGATAGCCTCCCTTATTTCTTTAGACACCCATGGCAGATTACCCCTTTTCTTACAGTCCTTCCTTTTCATTGGAATATACTTTTGCTGAGCACTTTGAAAGATTGCTTTGAACCTCTCAATCTTTGATGCCCCAGGGAAAACATCGCCAGCCTTTTCAGCCTCACCATATAAGTCAAACCCTCCTACCCCAGCAACATCCTTGTAAATCTTTTCTTTACCCTTTCAAGTTTAACAACATTTTTACTATAGCAGGCAGACCAGAATTGTATGCAGTATTCTAGAAGTGGTCTCACCAAAGTCCTGCACAGCTGCAATATGACATCCCAACTCCTGAACTCAATACTCTGACCAATGAAAGCAAGCGTGCCAAACACCACCTTCACCACCTCTCAACCTGTGACTCCACCTTCAAGGAACCATGCACCTGCACTCATTGGTATTTGTTTGGCAACACTGCCCAGGGCCCTACCAGTAATAGTACAATTCCTGTCCTGGTTTACCTTACTAAAACGCAACATCTCACATTTATCTAAATTAAACTCCATGTGCTACTCCTCAGCCCACTGGCCCATTTGATCAAGGTTCTGTTGTATTCTGAGATAATCTTCTTCACTGTCCACTACAACACCAATTTTGGTGTCATTTGCAAACTCAACAAATTCCAAACTACATCTATGTTGAGGCAGTGACATGTTCTGTAAATGTTCAATGTAACTAACAATAAAAAGCAAAAAAAGGGCCAGACTTTAAGAAAAGCTGCAGACCCAACTTTGAAATGGAGCTAGGCTATTTGCTGCTAGTATTCATGAGACTAACAAGATACTGTTCCAGCTGTAGGAATTGGCAGTGATGTCTTGATCTACATAGTGTGTGGCAGATCCAGAAGCAACCATTTTAGAAGACTGAGCAGTTCTGAGGAAGGGTCACTCAACCCAAAATGTTACCTCTGATTTTTCTGCACAAATGCTGCCAGACCTGCTGAGCTTTTCCAACAATTTCTGTTTTTGTTACTGCTGGATAATCTTTAGTAGGCAAAGAATTACACTGAAAACTAATTTAAGATTGTCAGTCTGGTTTGCAGAGTGGCACATAGCTCGCATTAAAAGCTACATATATTAATACATGGGGGCTGTTCCGTGCATACAGAAAGGACCTGCAAGCATACTGCACTTGCTTCAACCCAAAAAATAACCGATAGCCATTCACTGGTTCATGTTTCATGGCAAAGCCCTGACCATTATCAACCTGCCTGGTTTAATGTTTAAACAAAGCTTGGCAGTTAACTGAATTATTATTAATTGGTAGATTCTCCATGATAAGGCCTCTACAATCAGCACACTCCTCCCATGCAGGATAAATGTTCATTCTCCCCTTGAATTGGTATGATTGCAAATTGTCCTGATGAACGCAAGATGATAAAAAGTTTCAACAAAGTACATCTCTTTTCAGCAGTGACAACTTAAGGTGGTTGGCTAAATAAGCAACAGCAAAGAGGAAATGCTTCTATTCAGCAAAGGATCGGAATTTCAATGTGTATGCCTCTTATGGGAGAATGGCGTTGGGAAACATAGCAGAGCAGATGCAATAGGCCAAACAGTCCAATTATGCTGCTTTAACCTACCATCTTTTAACTGAATAAAAATTGGATAATTCTCTTAAAGGTTTGTACAAGGGTAAAAATATGGTGGATTAAAATTAGGCAATTTGCTCTTGCAAGTAGACATGGCACAACTGACTAAAAGCTTCTGTGCTGTAACCATTCTAAGGTGCCAAGTTTAATACAAGTTCTAAACCCCATTTATCATGAAATTTCTTTTTTAACCCTACAGCATTTTCTAGCATTACTAAAATCCACATTCTGAGGACTGAACATGTAATTCCTTGCACTACAAGATCCTAAATGCAGCATTCGTGTGACCTGTCTGTAAATGGATGAGAAGGAGATAGCATACGCACCAAGCTTTCAGAAGGTCTCCAGCTTCACCTACCCCAGTCCCCTCCATATCCTTGAAAGGCATTATGTTAAAAAAAAAAGTTCTCCTCCAATTTGGGCTTGACTCTTTATAATGAAGTAGATTATACTTCACCACCAATCAGGCAGAGAAACAGCCCAGAAATGCAACTAAATGGCATACCTGGGGCTTCCAACAATAAAACAATCAATAACTGATGACACAGTGTAGAGCTGGAGGAGCACAGCAGGCCAGGCAGCATCAGAGGAGCAGGAAAGTTGACGGTTCAGGTCAGGACTCTTCTTCTGAATATTAAATCAAATTTCTGAAGAAGGTTCCTGACCCGAAACGTCAACTTTCCTGCTCCTCTGATGCTGCCTGGCCGGCTGTGCTCTTCCAGCTCCACACTGTTATCTCTGACTCCAGCATTGGCAGTTCTTACTATCTCTCAATAACGGGCAATCTCAATTTTGTTATAGCAATCTGTTGCATTCAGGTTTTCTTACATGTCAGAGTACCAATGTCATTGCAAAGTTGCAACCTCAACACATGCCACAAAATCTGAAATAAAAACACAGTCGTGAAGAAACTCAGGTCTAGTAGTATTAGTGGAATGAGAAACAGATTTAATGACTTAAAACCAAGAGGTGCGTCACAGTGCCACAGACCCGGGTTTGATTCCATCCTTGGGTGACTGTCTGTGTGGAGTTGGCACATTCTCCCTGTGTCTGCCTCTGAGTGATCCAGATTCCTCCCACAGTCTAAAGATGTGCAAGTTAGGTAGATTGACCATACTAAATAGCCCAAAGTGTCCAGGGATGTGCAGGCTAGGTGGATTAGCCATGGGAAATGCAAGGTTACAGAGATAGGGTTGGGACAGGTAAGTCTGGTGGGATGCTCTTCGGAGCATCAGTAAGCCTCAATGGGCTGAACGGCCTACTTCCACACTGCAGTGATTCTATTTTTGTTTCAGTCGTACTGGACTTAAATTGTTAATTCATTTCTCTTTCCACCGATGCTGCCAGACCTGCAAAGTTTCACTTTACTTTGACTTGACTTTAGTTTGAATTTAAGCCCTGGCCCAGCTTATGCCTGCTTAAAAAAAACTGACGGCAGACAATTTTCTGCATCATACAGGTTTAAGTCATCATTGTGACACTGGAGGCGACCCAGGATGCACATGTCGTCCAGGGAGTGGGAGTGGGAGGGGAAGTTGAAATGGTTCGCGACTGGTGTTGTCGCTTGTCGCGAACAGAGCACAGGTGCTCTACAAAGCGGTCTCCAAGCCTCCGCTTGGTCTCACCGATGTAGAGGAGGCCACATCGGGAGCAGTGAATGTGCAGGTGAACATCTGTCTGATGTGGAAGGTTTTTTTGGTTCCTTGGATGGAGGCGAGGGGGTAGGTGTAGGGGCAGGTGTAGCACTTCCTGCGGTTGCAGGGAAAGGTGCCGGGGGTGGTGGGGCTAGTGGGGACTATGGAGCAAATGAGGGAGTCGCGGAGAGAGCAGTCCCTGCAGATGCCAGACAGGGGTGGGGAGGGAAATATATCCTTGGTTGTGGGGTCGATTGCAGGCGGCGGAAGTGTCGGCGAATGATATGTTGAATATGGAGGTTAGTGGGGTGATACATGAGGACAAGGGGGATTCTGTCTTTGTTTTTGTTGCGGGGAGGGGATGTGAGGACAGAGGTGTGGGAAATGCAAGAGATGCGGTCGAGAGCATTTTTGACCACTGAGGCGGGGGGGGGGCGTGTTGCTGTCCTTGAAATAAGAGGATATCTAGAATGTTCAGGAATGGAACACCCCATCTTGGCAGCAGAGGTGGAGGAATTGGGGGTAGGGGATCGCATTCTTGCAGGAAGGTGGGTGAGAGGAGGTGTAGTCCAGGTTGCTGTGGGAGTTAGTGGGCTTCAAATAGATATCAGTTTCGAGGTGGTCACCAGAGATGGAGACAGATAGGTCCACGAAGGGGAGAGAGGTATCAGAGATGGTCCAGGTGAACTTGAGGTTAGGGTGAAAGGTGTTAGTGAAAGCTGGCGAACTGTTCAAGCTCCTCGTGGGAGCACGAGGCAGTGGCGATACAGTCATCGATGTAGCAGAGGAAAAGGTGGGAGAATAGTGTCAGTGTAGCTGCGGAAGAGTGACTGCTCACACTTGGACATCGAACAGTTTTTCTGCTGCCTCCGCGCCTAATTCTTTAACCGCAGTCTAACCCACCCTCTACAGACTCCCTCTCCGGCTTCCAACACACCCCATCCTCCTGGACACCACCCCAAGGCCTCCTACCCTCCCTCAACCTCTTCATTTCCAACTGCCGTTGCGACATTGATCGCCTCAACCTCTCCAGCCCTCTCTCTCACTCCAAACCTCTCCCCCACAGAACGTGCAGTCCTCTGCTCCAACCCTAACCTCACCATCAGAGCCGTGGACATGGGAGGCACAGTTGTGGTATGGCGCACTGACCGTCGGCAGTCATTAGACCATAAGAGCATCGGCAGTTCTTACTATCTCAGAAGTTTTAGGTTGTGGAGACAGAACGGACTGCAGATGTTGGAAGCTACAGTCAAAAAATATGGAGCTGGAAAAGCACAGCACGTCAGACAGCATCCGAGTAGCAGGGAAGTCAACGTTTTCGGGTCAGAATCCTTCTTTTAGGTTGTATTGTTTCAGACTCCAATCGTACATTCGCACATGTTAATGCCAGTCACTGAATGAGTGGAGAGAAACACAGTCACTTTCATTCCCCGTCCCCCGTCCCCCGTCCCCTGCTCCGTCAGCGAGCCGCACATAGCTCTCTCACCCGCACACCAGCTGCAGCTCCTCCACCATGTCCGAAGGGAGACCCAACTGCGTTACCAGTTGCTGCCCGACCACCGCCTCCTCGCTCTCCTCCTCCAACCCCTGGTACGCTTTATCCAGCTGCTTCCGCCACAGGCTGCCGAAAGAGCCGACGTGGAAAACCTTCGAGTTCACGCCAGCCAGTTCATACTCCGGAGCGCGGCAAAGGCTGGAAACGGCCAAAGCGCCTTCGCCACCGGCCGCCTCCGCCATCTTTGTTTCTTTTGGATCAACATCCGGTGGAACCGCGGGGCACTGTGGGAGCTGTAGTTCAGGGTGTCGGAAGTGACGTCTCTGAAGCGGCATGAACAACAAGACGGGTCTCTTGAACATCCCCATAAGGAGGCAGATGTTGGCTGGTAACAACTTCAGTGTACGGTCTGGTCTACTGGGCAGGTTGAAAAGAGGGCAGCTGATTCAACCCTCCTCATCTGGTTGCCTCACATAGGTGAGGAGAAAGTGCCTGCTTGTCTTTGACATCAAGAAGACATTTGGCCTACTTTGGCATCAAGTACCTCCAGTAATATTGAAAATGATAGGCATTTGTGGTTGGGAATCTCTCCAGTGGTTACAGTGCAAAAGGTTTTTTTTATTTATTCATTTATTCTTTCATGGTCTGTGAATATGGTTGACAAGGCAACCATTTGTGGCTCATCCCACATTGACCTTGAGAAGATAGCAGTGAGCTATCAGTGCAGTCAATCTGCTATACATCTCCAGTACTGTTTCACGTGTTCAACACAAGGGCTTTATTTAAGTGAAGTCAAGATGAGTGCCTCAAGGCAGAGATCACGTGAATACAGCAAACAAGGAACAACATTTGTACTTCTAAAAATCAGAATATCCTTTATTGATGCATTTCAATCCAAACATCCTATTTTTTTTTAAAAAAAAGGATTGTTTGCATTGTCATGGACATTTTGATTCACCCAAGTTATCAAATATGTACACGACTGTTCTCATGATTTAGTTCCAGCTCGTCCCACTTCTGTCCATTTATTTACACAAATGGCACAAGACAGAGGGAGCGCGGAGGAAATCCACCAGGATGTTACCGGGCTGCAGCATTTCAACTACGAAGGGAGATTAGATAGGCGACACCCACATCCCACAAATGAATAAATTTTAAAAATCTGGTTGTCAGTACTGCAGAAGGCTTGTATCACACTACAGGGTGACTTTAACTTTGTAGTAATAGTGTTGTTGTCACTGATTGTTTGTCTGCACCAGAAGCTGCTCCTTGTTCTGCACCTCATGCTCAGAATTCCCTCCAACAACATTATCAAAATGAAAAAGAACCTCGAAATCCATGGACACAGTACAGCAAATAAAGGTTTAATTCGGCCATGAAGTAAAAGACAGTGGTTCAGCATGAGGGGTTCAGCATGAGGGATTCAACATCATCTGACTGTTATTGACTATCACAAGACCATGGTATAGGGAAATCCCTGCTACTACCTGATGTAATCAAGAGATTGATCGCTTAATACAATAGTATTGGAACTTGGCCATTGTCACTATGATCAGTTCCCATTGAGAAGGGAAATAGTCCATTCAAATCTTTTCCATCTGGCATCAGGTGCTGTTGTTGTGTTATTTCTATACAGCAGGAGAAATGTTTAGAACAATTTTGAACTGATCATATTGTCCAGATTGTTTTTTTTTCATGGAAAAGGGCTGTATTGCTTCACTGATCATACTGAGTTGGACTGTGTGTAAAGTACATCAAGGAAGATTGGTTCTTAGGCATCCTGAATAATAGGTGGATGTGAGATGACTATAAAATGACTGTAAAAGGATGTGAGATTGAAGGAACTTGGCTGCAGTTGGAAGAAGAGTCAGGACTGGTCAGTTTGACTCAGGCCTACAATCAACTCTGGGTTTACCAGCCATGCTAGGGATTGTAAGTGTTCCAGCAAAATCACAGTGACTTTGTCTGGAGGGCTGTGTAGTCAGGAGGAGGATCATGTAAAGTCAATCTGGTTCATGGGGCTACAGTATTGGAGGGGTATTGAAGTTGAGAGGCTAAGATAATCTGAAGTTAACAATCAAATCCAGGGGCTTTGGGTCTCAATTAATAAGTTTGGTTAGAAACGAGGGGTTTTGCCTTTGGTTTTCAGTAAAGGCTATTTTTCTGAAAAGTCACGGTGACTTTATGTTGAATCGTGGAGGGATTTAAGCCTGGTGAACAAACTGAGGTGTTGTATCGATCAAACCAGTTTATAGTACTTTTTATATCAGGGTGTCAGGAGGTTTTTGTATAAATAAACCATAATTTGTGCTTGAACCAAAACCTGTGTCTGTATAGTTTTGTTTTCTGTAAAATTCTAAAGTCCTGGAACCATTGTAAATGGGGAACAGTAATGGAAACTGCTTACAATCCCTAACAGTGAGCTTACATAGAGGTTCAGACTCTGATAAAAAATTAGGCAAAAACTTTGCTAAATTCTTCACAAATTCAACAAACCATTGCACTGTTTTCACACTTGTTGGTTGCTCTATCACCTTGTCAAGTTTGGACGAAGTCCTTTCACAGTCAGTACAAGATCTGCATACTCAACTTCAGGCATCTTCAACTGCATCGTTTTCTTTTTCAGCTCCAAGTTCATTGGCTATCTCCCTCTAGAAGTCATAATAGATTCCGATTGTGATATGTAATGGCTTCTTTTGGTGTCTCCATATCTATAGATTAGCAATCCATCCACAATGGCTCCCACTCTAGAAAGTTCACTGATTATCTTGTGCCATCTGTGTTAACACTCATCCAGCATAGTGGAAGTACCAAAATGTATGCAAAAACATCTGTACCTCCTGAATGGTGCCTAAAATGCAGTTGGAAAACTGCTGCTTTCATCGCGCATCACTTGTCAGTAACTATTCTTTGTGTCAAGAACAGTAAAGACATTTGCCTTGGCAAATTAGATTTTTTCAAAGCAAAATTGAGGTCCACTGGATCAATGCATACTCTTCATTTTCCAGGCTCTTTTTTATTCTTATTATACTGTACTGCTAACAGAATGTGTAGAAATTGTCACTTTCTTTATTATTCCCTTCTGTTCCAGCTCTTCTGTCTTACATTTCAGAAAGGACTTGACAGCAATTGGAACTCTGCTCAGCAGAGGCTGCATTGGTCTCTCACACTAATCCACTTCAAGGTGATATTCATCTGGAAGACATCCAAGATCTGTAAAAACATTTTTGTAATCTTCTAGGATCTGATCACAGCCAGTGGTTTAGTGCACTGTGAAATGCTGCAAATTATTTCTGGAAGATTTACGATTACTCATCTGAGCTTTAGAATTGCTTCAGCTGATATGAGTGGATTTTGCTTCATGTCCACTATTGAAAGTTGAATTGTTAATTTTTCCCATTTCATTCAGTTTCTGTTGTCCTCTTGGCATGAGTGTTGTTCTAACATATAGCTTCAAACTTACATTTGAGGGCTTCCTTTTAGCATCATCATTTTGAGCTGTTTTGCACAGGTCTGTGAAACACATGATGTTGCATAAAGCACCAGTGGGTATCTGACACTTCACATTCACTTGATGTTCTCCTTCTGCAGTCAGCATTCTGATGGTTACAAACCATTTATCACCTTTAAACCTGACAGTGCCATACTAGTGAATAGTGTACAGAGGTTCATCAGAAACATTGGCTGACATCACTCTAACAGCCATCTCTGTAAGCTCGTTATGCTTCTTTCTAGCTAAACACTTAAGTGCAAATGTTTTGCTTATTCATTCAGAGGATGTGGGTATCACTGGCTGGTCCAGCATTTATTGCCCATCCCGAATTGGCTGTGACCCGAGTCGCATTAGGCCATTTCAAAGAGTGGTTAAGATTCAGCCACATTGCTGTAGATCTGGAGAGACATGTAGGCCAGATCAGGTAAGGATGGCAGATTTGCTTCCCTAAAGGGCATTGGTGAACCAAATAGTTTTTGGCAATAATCAATAGTGGTTACATGTGCCAGTCGTCTAACTTTTAATTCTAGATTTTATTGATTTCAAATTTCACCGTCTACCATTGTGGGATTCAAAGTTCCCTCCCCAGAACATGATACTAGGGCTCTTAGATTAGTGAAATTACCACTATGCTGCTGTCACCCCATGATTAAGAATTTTGTAGTTAGTGTATGGTTTCTCTCACACTCGGCATACTCCCTTTTCTTCTGCGTGATGTCCCTCAAAATATTTACAACTGTTCTCTGCCCTTGACCTTACTCCTGTTTTTTGTTTATTTTTCTAATCAACGTGTTCAGAGACATCATTCCACACCTCTGGAGCAGGTGGGACTTGAACCCAGGCCTCCTGGTCCAGGGGTAGCAACACTACCACTGTGCTACAAGAAACTCTGGCTTTTTGTTGTGCAAATATTTATTCATTTTTCTCAATCCATTATTCTATTTCAGTCTGAAATGTCTCTCAGCATAATACAAAGTCTCATCTGTTTTCCCTTTAATTCCTTCTAGACAACCTTGAGTTCTTCATGTCGATAAGATTTTAGGAATAAATTCTGTGGCTGTTTCGTACTTTAGCTATTGAAAGTGGGAAAAAATTCCAATTCTGTCTCATATATCCTTTCTACAGCAAGGGAATGCAAGCTATTTTTATGACCCAGTATTTCAGTTAGAAAATGTTCTTTTCATTTTACTTCTGCCTTGCTGTTTCTTTCCTCTTACCTCTTACAGCTCTGAAAATCCATGTTTTCAGCTGCATTGCCCTAACACCATATTCAAGTGATGTGTGTTTAATGACTGCCACAGAATGCACAGAAAGGCACTTAACAGCAGAAGTAGAGGTTGCATAACAATAACAAACTAGCCAGACATGGTACAATTGCATTTCTCCAATGAATGGAAGAATGGAACAGCAAGACAGAAGTGTGTGGACTATATCAAGGCATATAAGATTGGAAATGCATCATAGACATATGCCACAAAGGAAAAAAGGGATGCTGAAGTAAACTTTTGTCTACAGGGCAATATGATTGCTCACAAGTTAGGTAATCTGCCCAATCCTTTGACATAAGAATGCAAAAGTCCCCGTCGTTCTAACCTTGCTTCAAAGTTGGGGCTCAACTTAATGGCTTTGTTCTGCAGCTGTTTCAGGGCTTGAAATTCTCCTGTGATTTGTTAACGGACAGGTTTCAACAGAATTGTATTCTGTTTTGGCATTACTTGTTGTGATTAATATTCAAATTTTGTACTTCTTTTGCTTTGTTGATTACAGTTCTACAGTGATAAAGAGAACTTACATTTATATAGTGCATTT